ACGACTCGCGCGCGCGTGTTTACTGGGCGATAGAGAATTTCGCTTTCCCGCTTTTACAAGAAGAACGCGCACATTCCCCGCAACGTATAAACACTTTCTAATTTACGAGACCGAAAAATCGTCTCCCACAACACAGCCAAAGTGTACGTCCGTGTGTGTAACAAAGCATCGCGGCAATTTTGATCGTCTATCGTAGCGTTCAGCCGCGCAAAAATTTAATTAGCTCGCGCTTAAACTTTAATTATTATGACTGAAAAATTTTGCGTCAAAGTACTTTTTCTCTTTGTGCGTATAAACGCAATTTGCATTTATTTGTGACAAAAAATGCATTTGCACGTCAAGGACGTGTGCGATATTACGCAATATTCTGTACGTCTAAAGAGAAAAAGAGAGCGAAATTATGTGTTCACCTTCAAAAAACGCAAATATGTTTTTCCACATTTTACACGGTTTTTTTACTCAAGAAAGTTTGCGTAAAAAGTGTGCGTAGTGTGTCGTGGAAAAACAACTAGAACTCGCGCGACACTTACGACCGTGGAACGGAGCAGAGAGAGAGAGAGAGAGCTCTTTGTATCGAGTTATCTTGACTTTTGCGTAATTGAAATCAAATTGATACACAAACTTGTCGCCCGAGGGTGATTACGAATTGCTGGTATCAACCGTGTCGAGTCTCTCGCTTCGCAACCGAAGTTGCTTTTCGTGTCGCTCGGAAGTTTTAATGAGCTGCATTCAAGTTCAATTCCGCTAACGACGCGCGCGCGCGCTCTTTCGCCGCGACAATAGAAAGAATTGCTTTATTGCGGTACTTCAGCAAAATAACATTCCGATGTAAAACGGCAAATAAACGGAACGCATTAACGGCGATTTTACGTACGTTCAAACGACTTCGGAAAGCGTTGCTTTTTTATTTGTACTCGCGTACAAGTGTTTGTACGAGTGTTTGCTCGCGTGTTTACCGAGTGCGGTAGCGCAGAGTAGTATACGTTTGCAGAGTCGACGATGTTACAAAAGACACAACCATTCGCGCGTGGGCGGATGAGGAGATACGTTGATACACATATCTAGCGGTTTCCGCGCGAGATTCTTCTGTTTATACCCGCTATTTACACGCAAGATGTGTGTGGTTTTGGGATTTCGTTAAAATCATTTTGACATATCACTTGAGAAAGAAAGAGAGAGAGAAAACTATCTCAGCAACAACCAGCAATTTTACCGAAGTTTTCACGAAACTTATCACATCAATTTTGAATTTCTCTCGTCTAGAAACAAAATCTGAGAAAGTAACAATGCAACGTGCACATGATGCACATCGGCGCGCGGTATTAGCGTTTCGACGCGCGCGCGTATATATACATGTATGTATACGTTGCTGTTTGCATCCGCGTCCTTTTAAGTCGCTTTCAAGGCGGCTCTTACGCTGCCTAGCAGCGCTCCAATTGCTCCGGGGATCGGCGCAACGCAGGTTAATGAGCTCTCTTTCTCTCTCTCTTTCTCTCTCTCCTCCCGGTGTATACAAGTCAAGTGACGTTTTCCACCGCCGTGCTTCCGAGATACCGATACGCCCACGTGTATGTGTGTGTGTGCGCGCGCGCGCGTTGCACTCACGTTGGTCCCACGTACTCGAATACTCGAACGCGTAGGTATATATACTCGGCGTTTGTTACACGTAATCGTTACTGCGGCAGCAGCCGCAGCTGTGCGAGTCCCGCGTTGGCGCACGCGGGCATTAGAAAGGCGGCCGCGACTGGGAGATGTCACAAGGTAAACCGCATACATAACTGGGATGCAGGGGATTATTGTGCATGCCTATCTCCGCGATCGTTAGGCGGATACACACACGGTCTGTCGGCCACCGACTGAAACCGAACGTGAACACACGTTTCGCGTCCTTGGGAGAATTTCTCTCCCCTTTACCGCCTTCGGCTCTCGTGAAAATTGCGAGAAACGACGACGACGACGACGACGACGACGACGACGACGACGACGACGATCTATTTTCGAATCGCGCGCATCGTACGGGAACAATGTTACGTTTTTGCACAAGGTTACCTCCTCTCTTCCCTTCTTCTCGTATCTTTTGCTTGTCTCTGGCGGGATTTTCGAGGGTCAGGCGTTTTTTTTTTTGGCTCGTGGCGGATTCATTACGTGAATCTTGGCGGCGCAAAGTCCTCTGCCGTGTTATTTGTGCGTACGCTAAGCGCGCCCGCGACACACCGCTTGGGAGGGCTTGGCAACCGAAGAGCCTTCTCTTCTGTTATTGTCGACGAGAAAAGAGGGCGAGAAGGAGGAGATGGCGGTGGTTCTGATCGATCGGGCGCAGCTTGAGAGGAAAAGAAGAAGAAGAACGAGAGATAAACTGCGAGCGAGAGCGCGGGGCGAGTTAAATGCGAGATTACAATTTATACGAGCGACCGCACGGTTATTCACTCGCGCGACTTTTTATTTATGCCGCTCCCTCTCACTCCGCGCGCGAAACGCATGCGTCTGTGAAACGGACGGCCGATAATAATTTTTCATTAGTTCAGACTGGAAAGAGAGAGAAAGAGAGAGAGAGAGGGAAAGAGAATGTGTGTACGTGAGAGAGAGAAAAAGCGCATGCGCGCATCGGTCCATTTTTAGATCTGAATTTCAATGGAAGGATTTGCGCGTTAATTCGCTTAATTAACGGAGCGGAAATAACGTGATGTTACGCGGGACGGAAAATACAAAACTACACACACCGCGAGCGTCGTGAAGCGTCCGGCTTATCGATGTTTTCGCGAGATATAATTTTACGATCGAGAATTGCTATTTTAGAATTCGGCGCAACGCGACCAGGACAATTTTTCCACGAGATATCCCGTTAATGCGATAGCGTTAGACGCCGAAGCGACGTGTAGCGTTTGGTTAGAAGTCACAACAAGGACGCGTGGTGTGAACCATCTGACGACCCTTTGATAGAAATTTATGCCAACATTTGTCTGGCCTTAATTGCCGCCGGGGCTTGATCAATTGGCGCCGAATCGTTGACGCTCTTTGTTGTCGCGATCGCTATAGACTCACGCCTCCGTAGGAAAGAACGTATAGATCAGACGCTTTCGCGAGAGATCCGTTTAGGAGGTCCATTTGGAACGATCAAGATTAATCAAGATAATAATAGCAATCGTTATATGTCAAATGTTCGCAGTGTGTGTTCAAGAAACATATATTTCATATCCTCGTAATATTATATTCCGTATATATACTTCGCGTTATACTTTAATAAAATATTTCACAAAAGATCGTTCGTACGAACGTTCGCGGCGTGGTAAACGTCGAAGGCAAACGTCAGCCGCTTTACATTACGCGGAGTTATTGAGTATATTCATGCGGAGTGCGTTCGTTATTTCGATACTTTCTCATAACGTCGACGTGGCATAAACGCTGTTAACATCTGGGGCGAGGTGAGCGTGGTGCGCCGCCTCGCAAGGTGTATCCCCTGCTCCCAAGGTAATCAAAGGCCGCGGCGGCGATTTCCATGACGCGCCGCCAATTTGTTTTATCTTTTGTATAATTGCAAATAAATTTGTTTTATTTCTCATCGCATCGATTGCAAATGGATAAGAAGAACGATAAAAACAAAATAGAGGGAAAAAAAATGTCTACAGAAGATGATGAGACATCGTACGCACTTCTCTACGGAATAATGAAAATCGGGGTGTTTGACCTCTGTTCGCTGTCGTCGCCACGCTATCGCGAGAGTCACGATAAAGTTTATCGCTTAAACCGTTAAAAAAAAAAAAAAAACACACGTACAAACGACTTATTTTAAAATTGTATTTTGTCACGTATTTACTAGCGCCGGATATTCCTGCCACCGTCTGAAAAATCGATATCGTCTTGTGTGTGCGTTTATGGTTTATAAATATTAACATCGGCGGAAAGACGCGCGAGGAAATCTAATGAACACGCAGTTGGAAATATACCGGGGAGAGAAACAACAGCAGAGCGCGCGCGACAAGGCTGATTGTCATTCGCGTTGCATTCACGACCGGTGACTGCCCTTGGCTGTTGGGTACGGAAAGGCTTCGCGCCGGCGACGAAGCGTTGTTTTAATAGGTTCTCTCTCGCGGCAGCGAAGAAAATAATTGTCCGGGTCGTCTTCGGTGTCATTAAACTTGTTGAATCGGAGAGGTCAGTCCGCGCGGTCACATCACACACACACACACACGCACCCATGCGCGCCCGTCGTGCCCGTTCTACTTTCTTCAAGAGATTATGCCGCCGCAACACTTTCACGGTGAGAAAAAAAAAGCTTTCGATCGCGCCGTGTGTTGTCGTCACAAATGCGATTCGGGCAATTTTCAGCGCAAAAAAAAAAAAAAAAAAAACCGAACGCCGCTAAGATAATTTGCGGTGTTATTTTCTTTTCGCGATCGATCAGTTTTTGCGGTGGAAGCGAGACGCGGATAATTGAAGAAATATTACACGCGCGCTCGATGTGTTTTTCGAACACAATACACATACGCCACATGTGTGTCTTTTCATTGAATATTTGTGTCAAACATTTTTATGATGAATTATAGCGCGCGATTTGAATTCATTAAATTTAATTAAACATCTTTCCTTCTCACATTCTCTTCTCTCTTTCTCTTTCTCTCTCTCTCTATCTGAAATGCCAGCTCGTCGTCAAGTTTCTCATTTCGCGTATATAAACTTGATGAATTTCATATTTTGACCTTAGAGAACAGGAAGTCGCGACATTAACGGGTCCAGCTGCTCTTGTCATTAGCGTTGACATTTCGCGCTGGAATTATAACGTTAAATCATCCCGTTCTTTGGCTCCTATCTCTCTTTCTCGTGAGAAACTCACTAATATACAGAAGACATATATTGTCGCGAAAACTCGTGTTAATCGCGCGCGCAATTAAATAAGCGACTTCGCGCGCAAATCACGAACGTGTAAGAAGGTTTATATAAATTTTTCATAAAGTGTTTTAACATTGTTAAAAGCAATTTTTTTTTTTTATTATCTGTTCCAGAAGTTGCCGTCTTTCTACAATGCCAAACCGACGCGAGTGGATAAATCCGATAATAACAATGGCAACAACTCCAATAACACGAGCAACAACATCCACAATATGCCTCTGCACGAAGCCATCAGCTCTCCCGAGGTGTACGGTACGTGAGACAGAAAATACACTTTGTAAGATTACGTGAAAATCGCGAGACGCTTTAGACATAGCGTAAGTAGATAGTTCGTGCGTTACACACACACACACACGTACACGCGTACGACGATTATCATTTAACGCGTCGTCGACACAACATACATATTTAAGATACGTCGCAAGTACGCATTTGAGGATGCTATTACGGTAACGCAGTTCGCAATATAGGATTACCGCACATATGAGAAATATTATTCATATTCCTCTCTTGAAGAGAGAGAGAAACGGTTCTCAATTTTGCGCGCGCATTTGTGAACGAATAAATATACCTTTCTGCGCAATTTGACAGAACTGTATATGTTCAGCAAAATATATATATATATATATATACATATAAAACGATTAAAATTTTTAAATAAAAAAAGATTACAGTTTTGTGATCTTTTTACCAACAATTTTGTGATATTTTTCAATAAAAATATAATTTAATAGACAAGATTTAAAAAATTATTTGATTAATTGAAAAAAATACGCAGAGAAATGAGTAACTTGTATCGCGGCCGCTGTAAAAAAAAAAAATTTGTTTTAGCGAAATTTATGAGAACCCCGTTGTAAAAAAGAAACTCTTATGTAACGCTGTGTCGCAGTTTTCTCGAGCACTCACTTCACACGTGTGTTTTGTCTCACGAAAAAAATAGCCGGGAGATTGCCAATGTCGCCTCAGGAAGCGATAAAGTATTACGGATCCAGACTGACGGAATTCGAGCGCGCCGAAATCGAGAAGTACTCGGAGATCTGGTATCTGGGCCTGTCGGCACACAAAATTCACGGCGAGGAGGTCAGTTCGCAGAACGGCGGCTACGACGACGAGAACGGCAGTTACAACAAGGTCCTGCACGATCATATCTCCTACAGGTGAGCGCCGTATTTGTTTTATTTATTTTATTTTATTTTTTTTTTGTAACTAAAAGTTTTCTCACAGCGCGCGGCTCTCTTTGTTGCTCCGTTATCGCGAGCTATTTGTTTCGCGAGTATATATACGAATCTCGTTTGTCGGCTCGTCGAAGGAATCTTCTCGCAATTGCGCGCAATTGCATTCCGCGCGTATACACGTCGTTATTCTCACACGAGGAAATTGCGGTCGAAAGCCGCGCGAGCGGGTAGCGCGTTGTATCTAAATATACACGGGCGAATTGCATGAAGAGCGAGAAATAAAAGTGCGCGACGACGAATTTTCTCGCGCGTATAATAAAGCCCGTGTGCGTGTTTCGAACAAAACTTTTTCAAGAAGCTCTTATTTTCGTTTTTTTTCTTTTATTGTATTGTAAGCTGCTTTTTCAGACCAGACGCTACATTGATAACATATACGTGCTGACATTGATACATGATATTTCTCACTTTTTTGTTGACGTGGCGACAACGAGACGAATTGCTTCTGACTTATGTTGCCAATCATTTATGTCTTACATATTGCTGCACTCTATTTCCTTGCACATGTTAATTATATTCGAAACTTTCGTGTGTGTGTCTCTCAGATACGAGATACTGGAGGTGATCGGCAAGGGTAGTTTCGGTCAGGTAATTCGAGCGTTGGATCACAAGACGGGACAACACATCGCTATCAAGATCGTCAGGTATGTGGAAACAGTACAGTCATCGTCGTTATGACTCAACTCTTTTTGAGTTTTATGATCTGAGAAAAAAATGCGAAGAGAGCCTAATGAGGCATCGGTGCCAACCGGAATTTCTTTGCCGCGGCTTTCCGAACCACTTTGTGTTTTTCGTTTTTTTTTTTTTTCATTATTTAAACATCGTCGGCTTTCACTGTCCTTGCAGGAACAAAAAGAGATTCCATCATCAGGCTCTCATCGAGGTGAGAATCTTGGAACAGCTCAGGAAGAAGGATCTGGAAGTGAGCTCGCAGCACAATGTGATACACATGCTAGAATATTTTTACTTCAGGAATCACCTGTGCATTAGCTTCGAATTAATGAGGTGAGCGATCGCGCATGAATAAACCGAGTCGCGAAACGCGCCTCATTTTTTTCTATCCCAGTCGGAACGAGCATAAAATTGAATCTCGCATCGTCTCGTTGCAGTTTGAACCTGTACGAGCTAATCAAAAAGAACAATTATCAAGGATTCAGTTTGAGCCTGATACGTCGCTTCGCCAACTCGCTAGTAAGTTGCCTGCGACTGCTCTACCGGGAGAACATCATTCACTGCGACTTGAAACCGGTACGTATGTCAACGACAAAAAAAACGAAAACGCGCGTGTGTGTGACGCGCTCATGTTTTATTCGCGTTAATCTCTTAAGCCCGAGGCTTTCTCATTCCTATTCTGTCGTTATTCGTGCAGGAAAACGTGCTGCTGAAACAACGGGGCAGCAGCTCGATCAAAGTCATCGATTTCGGCTCGTCGTGTTACAGCCACCAGCGCGTGTACACATACATACAGTCAAGGTTTTACAGGAGTCCGGAAGTAATTCTCGGTCTGCCGTACGGCACGCCGATCGATATGTGGAGTCTGGGCTGCATCTTGGCCGAGCTCTACACCGGATACCCGCTGTTTCCGGGCGAGGACGAGATAGAACAGCTTGCCTGCATCATGGAAGTCCTGGGTCTGCCGCCCGAGCACATTATCAATCATGCGTCTCGTCGCAGGCTCTTCTTCGGTAAGCCATGCACACACTCTCTCGCGATAGCGCACACAAAGTTTGGGAGAAGGGGAAAGATTCGAACGCCCGTAAAACTGCGGAGGATGGATGTGGGCGTGTGCTCACGCAGCGTGGAACTCAAAGAGACGGGTTTAAAAATTATTTCAGATCAGAAAGGAAGTCCGCGATGCGTGACAAATAGCAAGGGTAAGAAGAGGTGGGCAGGTAGCAAGAACCTTTCAATGGCTCTTCGGTGCAACGACGGGCTTTTCGTCGACTTCGTTAGCAGATGCCTCGAGTAAGCTTCCCTTTCTACGCACAGTACATTTTCGCGTTGTATTATTGTGAGAATTTCATTCTCTGATAAAAATCGAAATATTAAATATCTTCGAAAGTTCTCTGTATCTCTGTAATCTGTGAGTTTATAAATCGTTTGGAAGTCAAGAAGTTTGTTTGTTTTTTCTTAACAAGTAAAAAACTTCTTACTTGCGCAAAAAATTATGTAAACAATTCTCGTTGACGTGTTTAAATCAGGTGGGATCCAAAGAAGCGTATGACCCCCGACGAGGCAGTGCGTCACGAGTGGCTGTGTACGTCGTCCTCCTCGCACGCAAGCTCTTCCTCGTCAGCGATAGCCTCGTCGTCGACGGTGAATGCGAGCGCGAGCACAACGACGACAAGCGTCGAGACGTCGCGGGAATCCGCGCACGCTCCGCAAACAGTGAGCGTGACTGTGAGCAACGGACCGCGGCAACGCGCGACAACTATGGAAGAACCGCCGTACACGATGTATCGGATGTTCAAGGGCAACCGCAGGGTCGTGCAAAAGGTCTCAACGGGCGCCGACAGTACGGACAACGGCGGCGGCGGTTTGATGGTGAAGAGCAAACTGAACGGTAGTGCGAGCAGCCACGCCTTGGCGAGCAGCACACAAACGACGTCGGCGGCGACGTCGAGACACGCGTCAACCGGCGACATTGTCGCGAGCCTGGATCCGAATCTCGACGACTCGGGCACTTTCTTACCGCCGATATTGTGAAGTCGGGTTTGCGCCAGCCACTTCTAAACGCACTTGCTCCTCGCGCGCCGTCACCATCCGATCCGTTCTCACGTCGCTGCTAGATGCGGTTACGAACACGGTATCGTTTGGACGCGCATCAAGAAGCGGGGGGTGCAGCGAATAAGATAACGCGTATAGAACTGACTGGCCGGTCCGATATTTATACCGTATGCCCCGATGCCAAACGGCTATAGACACAATAGAGTCGCTAGTCTCAGCATGCATCGAGCTATGAGGCCAAACTGACGATCTGACGACGGGAGAGAACAGCGCGCGGAGAACGTATGCCAAAATCACGTGCAATGTAATCATTCGCGCACGCTCTCGAGAATTCTGGCGATCCGATGTCACTCAGGTAATCGTAATGAAGCCCACGCGTACGCGCATCGTAAGTTGAACTCGTGAATAATGTAAACTTGCCGCCCACACAAGAATCAAGAGTGTGCGTGTTACATTATTCACGTGTCGTCGTATCTATATCTGATTCTGATGTTTATTTCGCGCATATATTTCAAAATGCACGAAACCAATGATTGATAAATCCTCGATCGTGGATGAAAAATTTTTTAATTAAATATTTTTTTTTTTTTTTTTTGTAACGACGTATAAAGCTGTATATTACTGTTGACGACTACGTCAACAGTGTTACATATACTGTTAAGTACCGTCAGCGATAATAATAAAAAAAAGAAGAATCTTATTCAAATGAACGTAATCGGAAAGTATATTGTTAGAATTGCATAATAGTGTATTTAGATCTTAGACGACTACGCATGCGTGTAAGCGAGTAGGTACGATGCAATATACGTGTCGTCGCAAACAATGAAACAAGACGAAAGTCGATACATTACGATTAAAGCAACCGAGTTTACCCGACATTGGAATTACCATCGAATTACGGTTTCTCGCGCCGAGAAGACCTGAGTTGTTCGAGGCCCGTGTCGCCAACACGGGGTCGCGATTAATAACGAAGCGTCAAGGCGAGAGAAGTAAATTAAAACACGTGAAGCGTGCCCCAGTTTAACGAGGCCTGAGTAGTCTTATTGTGATATTAAACTACCACTGTCTTATACTTAGATCTCTCTGATATTAAGAAGTAACGATCGCTAATAATAATTTCAATTTACTATTAATCATTATTTTCTTATTATCTCTGTAATAATCGCTATATATTCGCCTCCACTACCGCGAGAATATAGCGGGAATACGAGTAACGAGGATATCACCGATAACGACAGAATTAATATTACTTGGTATACGTAGGCATGTGTGTGTACAAGGTTTTTTTTNTTTTTTTTTTTTTTTTTTTTGTTTGACTACACATCTTCGAAAATCCGAGAGCAGCGTGCTAGTTTCCCCCTTTTGTTATATTGTTAAAAAACGCGAAAAACAAGAAGCCCGATGATGTGTAAATTTTGTTGATGGATAATTTTTTCTTGTATACCGATTCATTGCTCGTCTGATTAATCGTCTGTCTGCGTTGTGATTAATCGCCTGTGCGACGGTAACATCTAACTTTTACATTAATTGTTGATTAAACTTCCCTCTTCCCCCCCCCACCCCGCGAGAAATTTGTGCCGTTGGTTTGCTTTCGCTGTAAATTATTATTATTATTATTATTATTATTATTATTATTATTATTAATTATTATTTACCGTAAATAGTGTACTCCTGATAGTACTCCCTTAGCTGTTAATGATTTGTGATTGACGCGCTCTTTCGGAAATATCACGAGCATTTCGCGATATGCAGAGGATTTGACGAGAAATTATTGTATAGTATTATATATACATATATATATATATATATATATATGTATATATATATATATAAATGTAACATTAGGCTACTTTTTAGACATGGTAATTGTTCGATGTGCCCGTACCCATTCTAAAGTAACGCGAAATGAACGCAAGACACTCGAGTTTGTAATAATTTATATCATTACGGCGTTTAGAAAAAAAAACGTGAGATGCGTCACTCCATCGTTTGTTGCTCTTCCATCTCATAAACCTCCCCCCCCTCCATATCTTCCGTTTTTTCACGCGCTTCTCGACTAATTCTTAGGAATTTTTTGTCACACGCGTTATACGATGACATTGAATGTCCTATTTAAATTTTTTGTCGACATTTTTATTGCCACACACGGCCGAAAAACGATTGGAGCAGAGATACACGAATATCGCGATTTTACTATCGCAAATTCTACGATAGATCGCGTATAAAGAAAGAGACTGAAATAAGTAAAGCGAAATTGTTCCTAATATAGTTGATTTTGCAAATCCGCGTCTCGCTTTGTCTTTTATTTCACTTTTTTTTATGTTTTTAGCGAACTCGTTCAGTTCCTTTGAAAGCGATATTGTTCGATTCGCTGTTATCGAACATCTCACGATAATAATCGAAACGAATAATAATAAAACTGGACTTGCTCCCGAAAAGTCCGTTCAGCCCCAAAAGTTTTAGGACAATTAAAATATGATATCGTACCGATATTTGTATTGCGTGCGACGTCATCGGTGAATGGCCAATAAAAAACAAAAAAAAAAAAAAAACGACGAGAGAGAACGGAGAGATATATCGTACTAAAGAAAAATTTAAAAATTTATATATATAAAATCTCTTAAGAATTATGTAAACAACCAACAATTCGTATGGCAAATGTGCCCGAACGAACGACTGACGAAGTAGCGCGTATTATATACATATTATTACACGATTCTCGCGAGACTTGTGCAAGTTTTTCGTAGTAGTCGCTCTCGCGCGCGCGCGAGTAATCGCGTCGACTTAGCGACGATCATCTCAAAATTCTGGGTAAGCACTTCGTTCGATTACTCCAGGCAAAAAAAAAAAAAAACAACAAAAACAAAAAAAATATTTGACGAGCGTAGTGTCTACGAGGCGACAATTTCTAGGAAACGAGATATATCAAATTGTGTATAAAGTATAAAAGACGTGCATGTGTGTGAGAGAGATGATGTGTGTGAGATTGCGTGCGTTGCTTGTTGCTATGTCTGCCTGTGATGAGGGACTTGTGTCTCTCGAGGAAATAACAGAGAAGCGAATGTTTACGAGAGTGTGATAATATAATATTACTTTATGCATATATCTTATATATATATATATATAAAATATACCATTATTAAATATATATACGTGAAATAAAATCACGCAAGAAAGCAAAACGAGTTGAGTCTAGAATATAACGTAGGATACAAATTTAGACGAAAAAGGAAAGAGTTTCGAGGAACACGCGCGAAACTCCGCGCAAAGTCTTCAGAAAAATGCCGTTCGATTGTGTACAGTCTTAAAAAAAAAACAAAAAAAAAAAAAAACAAAAAAAAAACAGTTTTAGTTGTGTTCACTATTATATATATACAGCGGGATCAAATTGTAGTATGTGTATAGATAAGGTGTTGTGTATAATCTGCGTATAATGTGCATCACCACAGACACATACATACAAAACCCATACGTACATTTGGCGCGCGCATGTGTCGCGCGCGCGTATATGCCTAAAAAGAAACATAGGAAGAGAGAAGCATGTTCGTGTAACACAAAAAAAAAAACAAAGAAAAAAACAACCATCCTAATGACCGGTTTTGCCAGTTGGTTAACCTTGCTGGTGGGGATCTCCAGTCTTTTGGAAGAGACCGGAGTTATTCAAGCTGCAGTTAATCGATGACGAACAAAAACCGGTGAAAGGAATAGTAAAAGGAATAGTAAAAAAAAAAAAAAAGAAAAAAAAGAGATTGTGTATTAACGCCATCCGAGAAGACGAATCAGATGGGGTGATCCGCGAAAATTCACGTCCTTCGACTGAAAGTTATTTGAACTTTGCACCTGGTCAATTCATCATAATCCATTCGCGAACGAATAGAGTCGTTGCCGCGCGCCGTAATCCGTGAAATGATTTCTCATTTGCGTGGCGCGTATATAAGACGAAAAAGACAGTCGCTTTTTCTAGTCCAGGATGTAACGAACGTGCTCCGAACACATACACGCATCTCACTTGAACGCGACGGAGAAAGAGAGAAAGAGAGAGAGAGAGAGAGGAGTCAGGAAGAAAAGGTTTTTCCTCTGACTTCGGTTAAGGGATACTCCGCGCGGTGTAATATCCGTTATATATATATATAGATCAGTGTGTAACTAATTAAATAAGTTTTAACGACACGATTAGAACGCTATCGAAGTAAATTAGTGTAAACGTGCGTGCGTGACCCTTTTCCCCTTCCCAGATCGGATAATCGCGTTCAACAAGAAAACATCTCGAACGGTGTTTTATCGCAGAGAGTTTTGTCGCTACGATGGTCAAGTAGCCCTCGTAGATTATCAGTAGGACAATCATATAGAGTTACGCGTTTGAGTTACGACGCGCTAGTAAGTTTTCATTAGATGATAGAAAACGATCGTACACACGAGGAAAACGACAGAGGATATTTCTCGTTTGCGATCGTTCATACGTGAAACGATTCCTTAAGTACGAACAAGGATTCAGATTCGAAGAATCGTTATCATTTTAGAGTATTTTAACGTCGACCACACACAGATGCATGTTGAGCGACTTACGATCTCGCTTGTCCGCTTAGCCCGCGGGCTAAGCGGAGGAGATTTCGCCACGCGAGAGTTCGCGCGAAAATAAATATTTAAAAGCGCAGGGAGGGGAAAGGAAGTGAGAGAAACGATTCCGACAAAAGGAAGCCAGGGTTAAAAAAAAATAAAAAATAAAAAAAACAAAAAAAAAATAAAAAAAAAAATAAAAGAGTAATTTGTAATTTGGCGTTCAACTGCGGATATCTTGTTGTTAATAAACGTGCAAGTGCAAGTACGTCAATTTCTGCCGAGACTTAATTAGCAAATCGAGAGAGAATTGCTAAATAATAAAAATGATTATTAATAATGACATTAGTATATATATATGTAATGATACGATAAGATACTGAAGCATCATCATCTTTTGTATCATTTGTTCGTTTGTTTTTATCTTACTGCGTTTGTCTTTCATTATTAATGCAATACCAAGATGACTCGGTTTCGACTCGGTATCTTGTGTGTAAATATATATACTAATAAAAAAAATTACAAATATATGAAGAGCACACTTTGCAATTCCCTTTTAGTTCGTTTCGCACTCATGATTTTCCTTCAATCTATTTCTTCCTGTTTTTTTTCTTCATTTCCGGATTTGCACGATACTGAATATTGTACACTGCGATGCGTCAAACGCCTTCAAGAGAGACATCTAGAGCGAGAAGTCTCTACTTCTCGTTCAAAAGACATTGAGACATCGCAATTTACACGGACCTTCAGTGATATAAATAGTTTATTTAACATATATGTACTAAATACATACTTTGTATAATGAAGTTTTATATAACGCAACGCTTTAAACGTACTAATGAGTGAAAGTTGTGTCGATATTCAGAACCGTTGTTGTTTTGAACTAAACACGCAGCGTGTTACGTTATTTCTTTATTTAATACGTTTAACTTTTCATATACAAACTTAATATACACTCGGCACAGAGTTATATCTTTATAATAAACTAAAGGGAGATAAAAAAGAAAGTCTCATTGTCTTATTCTAATAAAAACAACATTTTTTAGATTGCCAAAATCTTTCTAGATTTTGGCCAATATAAAAGAAGACCAATATAATACATAGATCAAGTTCTGAATATAGACTGTAAGATTTATACATATCAAAAAGAAGTAAAAAAAAGTAAAGAGTAAGTAACAAACCTTTCGAAGAAAGGGACAGTAGTTTAGAAAGACAGAAGGCACCGGATGATTCAACATCTCGTGAAGATATAGACAGCTTTCGTGAATATATACGTTCGCGTATTGAGTCTATAAATCCGTTTTCTAATGACAGGCTATCACACATATGCTTCTAACGAAAATAGAATCGACTGACTTAAATAATTGTTGGAGATCGTTGCATGCACGACAATATAGACGTATATAAATACGACACATATATATATATGCATTTGATAATCTTCAATGTTGAGGTAAATCTTGCGTAGATTTTGTTTCGATGCTACCTACGTCTCTCTCCCTTTTGGGTTTTTCTTTTCTCCTTCTTTTCTTCTTTCAATTGCTTTTGCTTTTCCCTAAAACGTACATGCAAGATTGTTATGTAAAATGTTTCACGGATGTAACACAAATGATATACTTCAATTACTATTGTCTCTATTCTCTACCTGTCTTCTTTATCCTTCTCCTTCTTTTTCTGACTCTCAAGTTTAGCTTTTTCTCGTTTTTCTCTTTCTTGTTGTATGATTGTCGCTACGTTTAAATTTTTCTCGATCCCACAGTCACCACCGCTCGCTCCATCTTCCTCCCCATTTCCCTCGCTATTTTCTTCTTCGGACATATGACTGTACTGCGCCAATATGGCTTCTCGCAATTGTTTCTCCTCTTCTGTGTAACATCTCTGAGTTGTCGTAGGCAGACTCTGTGATTCCAGCATCCGGGCTAGTCTGACGTCCACATCTTCGGCTGGTACAGAGGCTACAGCTACATTGTTAGCTGGAAACCATTCTGCCCATGCACTTAAGATTTCTGCTATGTGTTTGCCAATATTATCTTCCTATAGAGCAAATAAAAAAAGAGGATCACATTTATATTAACATTATTCATTATTACAGTATTTATTCAAATCAAATTCAATATCAAGTATTTTATATTTTAATGTAATCCAAAAGAAAAAGATACAGCAAGTTCTATATTGAATAAAAATACATACTATGCTTATTATAACAAATCTTGCACAAAATTTCACGTAATCATGTAACCATCACTGAAACACGTTAAATAAACCTTCATTGATAAAAACAGAGAGATCTGAATTTTAACAACTTTTTCGAAATAAAATTGTTACACAATATCAATTAAATTTTTATTCTATTATTAATATTTTATATATATATACGTGTTTATTCTATCCTCCTCTCTCCCCCCATAATGGCACCCAATTGTTTGTCCGATAAGCAACAATAAATGACAATCACATCAAGAAATAAATCGGTAGAAATGTACACAACCTAGTGAAGATTCTCGAAGATAAGTATACGCGAGACGAAAGTACGTACTTTTGCACCGGGTCAGGGATCAAATTTCGACCGGTTGATACGATACGCGCTCTACTCCTAACCTCCACATAGACCGGAGGTCTCTTCGCTTACCGTTATGCCCGTGAGTATGCTCTCGAGTGCCTCGGTCTTCTCATCCTCGGTCTCGTCGCCCTCGAGAATACCTTTAATGTAAGTACCGAAGACACTCTCGTCCGTGTTCAACTCTTGGAGCTTCTTGCTCAGCCAGGCATCGAAAGAATTCGACGCGACCGCCATACTTTCGCGAGTTTATCACCCGGCACTTCTCTTCGCGCGCTCGATTAGGATTCGAAATAGAAGAAGCAACGCACCTCCCTTATGCTCTCGTTTGTCGTCGGGTCCGAAAATAGATAGCGCCTAAACTGTGCTATCACATTTTGACACCGGATGTCACTCGCCAGTGATCGTGGGTGATCATCTCGACGACGACGAGGACGCCGACATCACTCGGAATCGTCGCGCATTTTACCTATACCCTACTTTCGCGAAAAATCTTGCGCTCTTTTTATCTCACTCGATCTATCCGGACGGAGAAAAACTGAGGAGAGCGAGGTCGCGAACGCATTTCAAGTATTGCCCCGCCCACGAGCGTCGCACTGTCTACGTTTTGTGCGCGCGAAACTACGCGAATTAATCCATTAAATAACAAATTCTACGATTGATTCGGTTCTGTTCCGTGCTTGTTGCTTACGTGCGCGCGCGCGCTCCGCCGCGCGCATCGATTCGAGAATCGACGTCGCAATACATCGCGTCTCGATACATCGAGGATTAGGCGGGCAGTCATGGCGGACGCGCGACACGGATCGGAATTGCGCTCGCGAATTGTCCCGTGTTTCTCGCGTGATTGTCATCGTATCCCGCGCGAACATTAGCCTTACGTGTGTCCTGAAGTATCGAGCGTTCTCTCTCGAGTGTGTGACACGTAATCAGCATTTCCTCGGTCATAATAACAATCGGCGAGTTTTACGGTTAAGATTGTCTCTGCGCGAAACGCGCGCGCGAGATCAAAATGGCGACGCGGAGTGTAACTACGACTTCGACTTGTGCCGTAAATTTGTCGCGAATTATTTCATCGCGCGCAAATATCGGCGGTACGCAAAGTGTCGCAAAGTGTATCGGACGTTTCCGACGCATATAATCGCGCTTGATGGCAATCGTGCGATGAAACATGATAAAATCTTCATCGCTGTGTGAAATCGCCGTCGTTCGCGCGAAACGAAGTTTTTTTTTCGCGAGAAATGTCAACGTCGGAACAAAGTTGACCAAATTTGACCATTGGGTTTCTTCGTTTCGATTGGTTAAATTCCAAATTTTCAATCTTTGGGCAACGCGGTTCTCTCTGTTACGCGCTCTGCTCACTTGGTGCGCTATCATCCCTTAAGAATCGAGTTTACTTTCACATAAATTTTATAAGAAACTCTATGACTCTTTTTCGTCGCGCCAACTTCAGATTGTCGAATCGCGTGGAAAATTGCTCGCTTTTGCTTTGTCATCGATGTTTGCCGACGTCGAAGGAGTCGCGTTATCAATAATGCGAAAAAATTACAGTATGCAATATTAATTGCAGCAACATTCTTCTTTGCGCCGCATGCCTACATCGATGGACGACGGAGGGACCGCACAACGGGGTGAGCGCAAATGTTTATGTCAAGTTTTTAATATCACTTTATTTCTATTTCTTGACTCTTTTTTATAATGCACATTTCGTTATTACTGATATTAATTCACATTGGAATTTAATTACATTCACAAACAAAATAAATTAAAAATTATATTCAAGCACATTCTCTGCATAACATCCTGCAAAACGGCTCGACTAACCCGATTTTAATTCATTCATTAAAATAAATTAAATTTCTTCAACTACTGTTTTAACGTAAGTGTTGGCATAAATGTTATTAATAACGCATCGATTTGCAAGAGTCAAAATAGAGAATGCTTCATTGTCTAATTTCTTTTGTATTCGTTATTTATTTTTTTTGTATTTATTATATAATACACCTTTGCAGGCTCGTCACAAATCTGCGGTAGAATGATGTGCAATAATATAAAAAACAAAATAATATACTTTTATTTCACTGTAAAATTGTTCACGCAAGTGAATACTTATTATTGTTACTGTTAATATTTATTATTGTTACACATAGAATCTCTCGTATCGGTTTACACAATTGGAGATTGATACAATGTCACGTCTACAGAACGTGATGCGCGTTATCGATGATTTTGCGATGATTTAAAAAACAAAATTTTTAAATATGTAATAAATTGCATTTTGACTTTTCACATAACACGTACTTATTTAATCTTCTTTTTGCTTATGCCGTGTATTGGAATAAAAACGCTGATGGCGTGCGGATAGGTATCAATCTTTGATCGCCGCTACGATCCATGACGACGTAATAATCGCGTCCGTTGATGGTCTGTTTTTTTCCTTGCGCGATACCGTACGGTATGGTTTGATACATAGGTCGCGGGCTTATCTTCTGCAAGTTGTTTCGTTTGCCGTCGCTCAGATTATTCTTCGTAAAATTTACTAATTGCGGAGTCACAAATACCGATCGTTGCTTCGGTCTGCGGAGCGTCACGCTGTTCGTCTCTTTTCGTCGCTTGCAGACGTTCGCGCCCCATCTGAGCGTCAACTCGAGAATAAAGACTATCGTCGCGATTGCGTATCCAATCACCACGAGTTTGAAAGTAAGCGATAGATCTTTGAACGACAATCGTCTCTCGGTGGATTGCAGATCTAACGGACATATGTGCGCCAGTGGTAAGTTCTTGAGTTTCTCACGTTTTATTATACCGGTTTCCACAAGAGCCATCAGTCTGAAACAGAGTTCAGAGTATGTTGAATCAAAATAATTTAGATTTATACACGTGCGTGTTGTTGAGTAGAGCAATTAGATCATTTCTGAGTTATCTAAATTGTTTGTTCACACGAAGTACGGATACACAATACATTACAGATTTACATAATTGATTTTTAGAAAACAATTTTAGCAGTTTTATTCAACCATCACTTGATTATTATTAAGAATTTGATGATAATCTAAGAGAGATCCGCATCGTGTTTTCCGTTGCAAAAGTTCAACATGCTTACGCTTCGTTAATCGGTTTCACAATGGTGGAGTTCACGGGGAAGGCAAACGCTCTGTTAATTACGCGAAGTGCGCCGGGCATAAGGACGTACGTGCATCTGTTCGTATAACTCAGCTGCTCACGAGTTTTATTGATATAATTTTCGAACAACAGACTCTCCAGATAATGCGTTTCTCCGAGAAACAGTTTGTCTGGAAATTAACGTCATGATTTTAATGTTGTAAATTAAACCCACACACACATGTTTTTCGAGATACAAAATTTTCGAGAACTCAAACGCATTCGCGCGTTATAACAGTAACACTCACTGTTCTTCACGGCGTTGAAAATGTCCTTAACCGGATACTCGTACGTCGAGATAAAATTACCTCTCGTCAGTCTCGTAGAGTTCATCGCAGATAACTCGTCCAAATGATGCTGAAAGAATTAGAACAAAACAAACTATGTGACGTTTGATTCAATTGATTTAATATTTGTTAGCTAATTACCGAGACGTAATAAACTGATAAATATTCGCGACAGTTTTTGTCAATTTCAACTCGCGAGAAACTTGACACCAGAGGAAAGATATTTTTCACGAAAATATTCTTCTTCCGAAAATAAATGTCACGAAGATACTCACTTGAGAAAGTAAATAGTCGATCGTGCGCCCCTCGAAGGCGACCCAGCGGTAACCCTTCCTTACTATATCGTCAATGTTCTTGATCGGCAAGGTGAATTGTGGTTTTGTGAGAAACGCGGTGAGATTTGCCGTGTAAAAAGACGTCAGTATCAAGATGAATATCCACCACGTGGCGAACAGAATTCGCGTCGAATCTATATACGCGTTTTGTGATTGCAGACAATAACATTAATATTTTATTTGTACAATTAATTTGCATTACACGCGTGTGAGCGAAACCGATTGTGCAATTAAAATTGCGATAAATGCGATTTAAGGCGGGAAGGAAAAGAAACATTTTGTGCGCATATCGAATTCGAGAGATGTCACTTATAAAAAAAAATCAGAAACACGACTGTCTCGTACCTGTCGTCGCGACCATGCTCGTTCCCTGTTTCAGCATAGAGCAGAACACAAACCATATGCAAGAAGGAAAGCTGTAATTTTCGGAATTCTGATCGTTCCACAACTTAGCTCTGCAAAACGATATAATAATTGAAAACTGCTGTTTAAAACGCGCTTCTCTCAAACGCACAATTGCAATTTCGTTGTGGCTTTACAAACCTAAATCTGGCGAAAATGTAAATTACGGGCATTGTGGTGAGCGCCGCGGCCAGAACCGATAACCAGACAGTACGATCGAACGGCGCAAGTAGCCCGGTACCGGTTGTGGATTCTTGCGGTCGTTTCATTAACGCGGTTATCTCGCTGTGATCCAAAGCCGTGCTGAATGTGCAATATTCCCGCAGCTCCGGCAAAAGAGGCAAAAACGCCACGGCCATATCCACCGTCTGTACGAGTAAACAAAAATTCTCTTTTTCCATTTAGAAAACATCAATTCGTTAGTACTTTTTTTTTTTTTACCGCGAGAAATGTGATCTATTGTTTTATAAAACCACTAGGACGATGTGTATTGACAAAAGTAACATTGTGAACAATCACAAGAGAAAAACCTTTTTACCCTGTCGTGAAGCAGTTTCAATATTCCACGTCGTTTGTTGCCGAGCACGTGTTCCTTAGGCGGCACGATAGTGTAGGTGAAATTTAATTTGGAACTGAGCAGCTCGAGTAAGTAAAACGCGTAGCCTTTACCCACCCATTTTCCGTTCTCCATCGCCAACCCGGAAAATGGCATGTCCTATAACAATTTCGATATTTTACGCGGCGTGTGTGATAAACATAAAATTACACGACCTCTACGAATTAACGAACATTACACGCGTCGTGTAAGCGAGATGGGAGTAAAAGATAAGGGAGAAATTTTCCAAGTTCTCTCTTACGAGCTAAAAGTAACGAGAGACTGGTTCATCGATATTAAATACGACGTTCGTTTAAATTGTGGGTCGTAAAAAAATTAATCTTATTTATGGACGTAATTATTTCTTTGTAAAACGTGGGAAGATCGCGCGTTTAAGTGTCTACCCTGTTGACGTGTATAAAAGATATTATAAAAATATTATATCACTTGTGTATATCTTTTTTTCTCAAATCTCTTTAATGACGCTTAGACTCACTCTCAACGATGTTTTAATTATCATCTTTACGCGCTCATTATCGCAATGTCGCGATCGTTTCGTGCGCGATCAACCTCAATAATTACACACTCGGCTCGAAGCGCTTGTATATTTTAATATTCGATATGCGCGACACGCCACAAACACGTTAATGAGCGTTATGAAAATTGTAAGAGATGCGCGGTATAATATCAAGAGATATATGTACCCACGACAAGCCTGTGACGCGCAATACTTATTAGCAATCGCGATACTTGGTAATGCGACAACTCGAACAACACACTGTATTTAGTTACTCGATTACGCGCTCTTTGTTTTCCGAGTCACGCGAAACACGCGATACCACCAGAAAGAAAGATATCACTCGAGTGCCGATTCTCCAAAATTATCGCAATTGTTGTCTCTTTTCGTGTTTTCCATATAAAAAAATTTTCTGTTTTTATAAGATGATTTTTTTATTAAGATGATTCCGCACGAAGAAACGTGGAATAACAAGATTTTTCTTTAACATAATTACTGAATCGAATACAGAGCGATAAAAATCGACGAATATATGCACATGTGAAAAGTCATACGCTTATTCTGTATTATTTATCTTCGTTTTTTATCTTTATTTTTTTTTACAAGAGACACGAACGTTTTTTCCGCCTCAACGTCTACCATAAGAATCGATTCTTTTTCTAATTCCGGGTATATATTTATGTTTTTCTTCTATGAGGATGTAAAGGTAATCTAACGATATGATTATAGGTATTTATGAAAATTGTTTAGGAAACATTTACACGTTGAAGATTGTTATTTTTACTGAAAGATCCTAACATGCTAAGTGCACATTTGGACTGTTTCACGTCGCGTGTTGTGTTTTTGTGATTCTAGGTTTTTAAAATATCACCTCGGAATAAAAAGAAAAAAGTCAGGGACATCATCACCACAAAAAAAGTAGGACATTTCGGTGATCAATAATCATCATGTGACAAATTGTCACTTAAAATGTGACACAGTGATGTGAGCATTTTTTTTCGGCAATAATTGTTTTGCACATATCTCATTCGATATGTATGTAATTCTTTTTCTTTTGATAAACGAGATACATAAAAACACAACTGTTTAATTATCAGATTCCTTTCTTTCTTTAATATCGTAATAAATAAAGTGAGTCACGCTGAAGAAACGTGCTAAACTAAAAAAAAAAAAACGATATTTATGACTACGCTACAACACGCGAATAATTAACGTAAATGAAACGAGTCTGCACAGTAAAATTAAATATCGCTTCGATGCGAATGACATGTAAAATTACTCAGTGACATTTGCGCCGCTATCGTTTATTACCGAGCTCGTAAAAATGCGCATTTTATGTCATCGTGAAGAGGGCAATAAAGCCAAAGAAAGGTCTGAAATGACCACCGCACAAAACATTTTGTGTTTAATAACAGTCACTAAGCAAATGTCACCGAGCAAAGTTTGTGTGTTTTAGTTCGTGTAGTTGAAATTATTTCTTGTTACTGCAATAGTTGATTTTTGACTATTGAGTTTTTATTGTTATTTTTTAGGTTCGAGTTTTTAATAACATACAACTGTGTAAAAAAATATGTTCCACTAGATTAACAGATTAATTGATCTTCATGCTGATTGAGTAAATTGTGACAAAATATATGTCCAATTACTGAAGCGACTAGAAAGAAAATGATACACTATATATTGTTTTGAATCTTTTCGATGAACGTTGATAAATTGCTTCAATGGCATTAAACTAGTTTCTATTTGTAGCAAGCGTCACAGTCAATCATTTCATCACTGAACTCATTCTCAAGCATGGGTCAAAATAAACAGTGAAAGTTCTCGTTAGTAGCTTCATTACGCTGTTTGCGATACGTGTTTCAATATATATTTTCAATTTTGCCAAAAACCTGAACTCTGATAAATATAAGTATTTTGCTTTTTGCTTGCACACACGCAATATGTAAATTATAACTCACATTCCATGATGTTATTTTCATTTCCGCGGGTATTGTTGATTTTATTGAATTTTGTTTGTCAGTCGTCGTATCATCTGAAAACATAATATCCGTTTTACAAACTTAACGCTAATGATATGTCAAACTGCAGGAAACGTGTCTTTCCATTTATCTAGTTTGCTAGCAAAATGCTATTTTCCAAACACACGGTATTGCACGAACTTTTAATTTCGCCAATAAAATTAGAACAAAATTATTTTTTTAATTATGACAGTATTATTATATAACAATATTATTTCTAGTAAACGATCGCTCTCTCTCTCTCTCTCTCTATCAGTTAAAAGCATCGTGATAAAGTTTTTTTAGATTTTGAACCGAACAATCCTTTGCGTAAGGGTTTCGTCACTTCAACTTTCGTATCGTGTTTATAGACTTTCTCTCTGTTTTTACATAAAAATTTTTAACTGTTTGATAGTAAAGAAATAATTCAAAAGAATATTCATTATTTTTGATAATTTGATAGAAGTTGATTAAATATTTCTTTATCCTTTTGTGACCGTTTTTCTTACCTTGACCGTGACCGATGTGATAGCACGTTGTGAACAAAAATGTGCTGAGTAAAAGTTGTCGGAAGCTGCGCATTCTTTAAGGGTGTCGTTTTATCTTATCCGTGCGCATCTTGATCATCAGATTCTCCCGTAGATCTCATCTGGCCGGAAATGCTTCGTACGTGCGGCATTACCAGCAGCCAGGTGAATCGATACTGACACTCGTCTACTCATCCTGACTCGGACGACAGCAACGTAGTGACGAGCCATTTTATGTCAGCGTGTCACGCGACCATCAAAGGTGTCCGAAGAGGGGAAAAAGGCTGACAGACACCACGATGACGTCCCGTACGCGCGGGCGCCGTCAACCCCGTCGACACATCCCCCTCAGTTATCTTCGTGGGTAGAGTTCTCACAGCGATTGACGTGTTGCTTATTTTCGCCAAAATGTATGTACGTTGCTTTTCGCTCAGTTAAGAATCAGATGCGACAACCGATGATATCAGGTACGTGCGATTTCTCACACATGTCATTTTGTGATTTTACGTGCGTAGCATTAATATATACATATATATATGCATTAATAGCATATATCATGTAAAAATGATTGCGGTTGAGAAAAAAGTTTAGCAATTTTGGTACGTGTTTGTGTTTATTGTTATCTGTGAGTTATTATTTACATGTATATATTTTTTAGAGAAATTACTTATCTAATTTAGAGATCACGTATAATTTGTTTAGATCTTGCTTTGTAAAATGCGAAGGAGAAGTTTAATGACCGAGAAGCGTAATTGTATGTGCGAAATGATTTAAATTTTATAAAAAACAAAATTATACATTAAATTCTCGATTTAGTTACTAGAGGTACGGTTCAAAGTTTCACTGCAAATGTTTCGTAGCATCATTCTATCTTTATTTTTCGTTAAATGTAGAATAAAGATAGAATGATGCTTCGAACCATTTGCAGTGAGACTTCGACCGCACCTTAGAAGTAACTAATTTGAACAGAGAGTTCCCCTCATGCATGATACACCACACACTATTGAGTGAGGGATTGACGACGTTAAATATATAATGGCTAGAAAAATAGACACGTGTACATCTTGTCACGCACGTCGTATCTAATAATATTTCACACAATTTATCTGTCACACAATGCCGTTGTTCTGTTCTTTAACCTTCGAACTTCTCTCTCTCTCTCTCACCACGAGAATCATCTTGATCCGATCTCTCCAAGCGGGTGGACAAGAGCAGAGAAAAAAAATGCGGGATAGGTCTATCTTTTATTAGTCTTTTCTTTTTGAAAGAGAGAAAAAAATCGATGCGCTCCTCGCACGCTGAACTGCCGATCGTGTAAAAACGAACGAATTTCGTTTACCCACATAGTATAGTACGATGACACAATCATCCATCACACCGATCCATTTCCATTTCTGATATTCAAATTTCTGATATTCGCGATAATACACAACAGTTATATCCCAGAGAAAACACGACGAGCGCGCGATATTCCAAAGATAAACACCGGAAGATTAATGTTCGCGAACGGGATGTGTGAAGTCGTCCTCTTTCTCCTCCTTCTCTCCCGCGAGGGAGGTGTATTACGTTATATCAGTCCTGGCGCGAAGGTTGCGTTTAGAACCGTGTGTGCCCGATCAATATACGCATCATTAGTAGCATCAAGCAAATAATCGTGTGAATCATCTGTCAGAAGAAATTAATAGTGATATTATTAATAAAGTGTGCCGCGCGCACACGCGGTTTCGGCGCGTAAAAGCCGAGTGTAAAGCCGAGTGAGAATTGAGATCATTGAGACTAATTGTTCTCGTGTGTGCATCTCGAAAATAGAACAGAACGGATACGTGTAAGAGGGAACGTGGAGATGCGGTCGTGGGAGTAAAATCAAGAAACAAGAGAGAGACTTTTCTTGGGAACAGTTTCCATTGTTTATCGTTTAAGTTGAAGTACATCTCAATATACAAATCACATCGCCTATGTCCTACGAAATAGTATATATATCGCCGCTCCTCTCGCCGAAGCGGCTGGAGAGAGTTGCTCGCAGCCGCAGCAAAAGGAATTTTTTCTATCGCGTCTTTGCACCGAGCGGCGTATCAGGATCGAGAACACGGCCGAATCGCGCAAACACGAATGTCTTATTCGAGGGTGTGATACATGCGGACATATATATATGTACGGATATTGGAAACGGATACTCGTTTTACACTCCACATATTTGCTTCCTCGTCAATCACGATGTTCAAACATCCGTTTGTTCTCTTTTGCCGACAGGCACGAAAAAGCTACCTATCCATTTGATATTCTCTTCGCAGGCAAACGTCTGTCTTCCGATATTGGTGGTTTCTCGACGTACAGCTGCGGTTACATTATTATGTGCGCTGTTATTAGATGCTATCTATTGTGTGCCTCGATCCTTACTCGTTTCAACGCTATATTACAGTCATATCGCGCGAGGAAGGATTTGCCAAAAACGAAAGGGAGAGGAAAGACGGACACAGAGGAGAAAGAACAAAAAAAAAAAAAAAAGGGAACAGTGCGAAAATAGAACGCGGGAAGCGCGGTCAAAACGCGCTCATCAAGCAAGCTCGGCAGCAAACGTTATAGCGATATAAATCACATCTCGTTACGACGATGGCACGCGGGGTGAGTGCGATGAGGATGAGGAATGATAGAAATGACGGCGCTAACGCGGAGTTAATGGAACGCTAATAATCACGATGATGATTATAATAAATGCGTGATTACGATAATTGGCGTCTAATCAATAACTTACGACCTTGGCGGTTATAATCACTTCGTCGCGTTGTTCAATGGGAGATACGACGACGAAGAGACGAGAGGGAGAGCGCATGAGGATGAAATCGCGATTAAAACGAAGGAGGCCCGGCGATTTGAAACTTTAACAAAAATCACGTGACATGATTTTGATAAAAGAAAATAGTTTTTTTGAACTTCATTTTTCTTATTTTTCGAAATTAATAAAATATATCTTTCTAATGCGAAATATATTATTGCTGTATATATACATATGTATATATGCTATAGAGCAATAATATATTGTGTCTTGCATTGGTATGTTACCGGACTTTTCTTCGCGAATCGCGACAACATAGTCTACCGTTAACTTACTTCAGGTTAGCAACTTTGCTATCCCTTCATAAGTTTCAAAAAACCTACCTATACGAATACAGACAGAGAAAATAGATTGTTAATTAGAATAAGGCGCTAAACCAACTTCGGTGATAGGGCATAACATTTTATATTATACATGTACGATATATATTCTTCGGAATGGTTTCGTGTTCTTACGCTAGATGTGCGTGACGAGGTAAAATGGCATGCGATTTAGAGATCACTCAACAATACATAACTCAAGTAAACATTTTGTCGATGTGGAAATCGAATCGTTGTGAAACTTCACGAACGAACAATCGCAGAGTGGTGAATCGGTATATATTATGCCTTTGTCAATTTTTAACATCTCGGTTTTCTTTTCTCACATTCTCGATTTATTCTTCTGTCATAAATTGTCTTTTTCTCCGCGTTCAAAACAAAAAAAAAAAAGATTCTAAATTGGCCGCCAAAACAAAACTAACTAATTTATAACACACTTTTCCATAATTTCTTTTCTCTTCTATCTCGTTAAAATTATTTTTCACCTATACGCTTGTATTATCAAAAACATAAGTCCCTTTCGAGGTAGGATGTAGCGACTCGTCGTGATCTTTCCGGTGATGCTGCAAAGTTTTGTTACGTCCGACACAAGCGCGGCGCGCGTGATTTTTCATTCGCGTTTGTTTTTTTTTTCTTGTTTTTTTTTTTTTTTTTTTTTTACGCTATATACTCTCACGTTCCTTTCCTCGAAAGTTCAATCGTTCGGAATACACGCGTTCTACGAATAAGAATAATATCACCATATATATGCGGTACAGTCGTGGATGTCCGTTGAAATTCGTCACAGCCTCTGACAGAAATTAAAAAATAACGCAAGCTACAGTAATGCTTAGTGTCGAACTTCAATGTCCGTTCGCAACAACGACGAGCGTTTCCGCCCTCGATCGTCGTCTCGAAGAGATTCGATATACAAAAAAAAAAAAAAAACATTTACAGTTACACAAGAAACTAAAAGCTATCGAGTTGTTTTCTTCTGTGCTTCGTCGCCGGAAATCACCATGCGAGTGGGACTGCATTTTCCGCGATAATCGCGCGAGATTTCTCGGTTAAATCGCGAACTGGATCATTCGTCAAAATGACGTTTACGCAGAATGATTGGTGGCGTGAAACAATGCAAATATAAATTGTACGTATACAATGTCATTCCGATGTTTAACCAGTAAACGAAAAAAAGACGAGAGGCAAATATCCCAAAGATCGATTTCGTCGGACAGGGCGAGCGGACGTGAAATCGCGTGACACCGTCGACATACGCGGTTTTTTTTTTATTTTTTTTTTATTTTTCACGTATGTCGCGTGCGCGCATAATGATCGCCAGTAGATCACGCGTCAGATACTCTAAATACGCAGGTCGCGATATTGGTTTATCTCCTTTTCTTCCCTATTGATTTTTGTTCTCGATTGAACTTCCTCGCAGAGATCAGTCTGCGAATGTGGACGCTGCCTCTTTTCGATTGAGAAAAAAAAAACAAGTGCGACAAATGTCGCGGTACGACACGACGAGAGGTGTAAACATGTTTAATGAAGTGTGTACGTGTACATGTGTAACGCGCGACGCGTTAGCGCCTTTCGCGAAATCGTTGACCCTCTTAATTTTTTTACGCGTCCTCGATTGTACGAACATAGCTCTCATCTCTCTGTGAGATTAAATTTGAGTTTTTAACTAAGGAAAAGATCCACAAGAAACAAAACAAAATTTATAGCCAAGTCAATTTGTTGTGTCGAAACAATTGTCAGCCAATCGTCGCTCTGTGTCGCATATGCACACATAGCTGAGAGTGTGAAACGCATTTCGAAAAGATTCTCATAATCGTTGTAGATAAAGATGGAGCAAGCGAAGGAAAAATTGTCCAAATATCGGGAAAGTTGGATATAGAATCAATTTCGAATAAATAACTTTTTTTTATTGTTCCATTAGGTTATAGTGTTCACAGTGGTTCACACAAGCATTCTCAATCACACGAATAATTATTCAAAAAAAAAAAAAAAAAAGAAATACATTTTTTTGGGCGATCTTGTATTCTATTTTTCAAGACTGTGTCTCGAGAGAGGTCTGTTTCTCTTTCCTCCGTTGCTCCCTCATTCTCAAAACAATATCAAGATCGAAAGAATACAGTGTCGCGCACGATCATGCGTTAAAATATTGATCCTTCGCGATTATACATGTAATTATCACGAATCAGTCTCCAGCGTGAACGCGGTTGATGCGGTTATTGGTGAAACCTTTCAGTGTGTATTTAAGTATACGTGTGTATGTGTGTATGAAAAAACGTGTGTGTGTGTGTGTGTGTGTGTGTGTATGTATGTTGTGTGTATGAAAGAACGTGTATGTGCGCGTGAACGTGTGATTATTCGGTTGCATGGTGATCGAGCGGTAAAGCGGAAGTCGAAGGGTTACCGGTTTTCGGACGCGCGCTTAGGCGAATTTTTACGATCCGCAGTAGCTGGACAATTCGCTTATCGTGCACGCGTTGATACAGCACTCTTCGTGGATACCTCGCGTTTCCCTTCGTGAACGTCTGTCGCCGAAGCGACCGTTTATCATATCCCTTGCTCTGGTCGGGACCATGAATGGGGGACGAATGTCGTAGACAAGCGGGTAATCGGCCAGTTCCATCTCTGAAACGAGAAAGCGGACGTTGTTAGTAATGATAACGAATGATAAGCCAATGATAAAAACAATGGGGAACTTGTTTGAAACACGCGTATATACACGCACGACTGTCAATGTGATTCGTCGCGTTTTTATCTCAAATCCTGTTTACGTTCTCAATCGTCTTTATTCTCTTTCTGTGTATATTTCGTTTTTTTCTTTTTTAATTTTATCTGAGCGCAGAAAAGTTCTGAGATTTTCAAAATAAGTTTCTGTATTACATAATTTCTTATTGCGCTATTTCTTCGCTATCGTACCTTGAGCGCGACCGTAGTCAAAGCTGCTACCTATGCGATCGGTATTCGCTCCTCCTTGCGCTGCGAAAAGAAATCAGAGAACAGGACGGTTTTTGAATATCTCAAAACTCTCGTGACAATAAATTAAAACAGATGTGCAACGGTTATTGATGAAAAATTGAATAAACAAAAAATGTGTATTTGAAAATTTAAAATAAATTGTACACATAACGATAAACAAAATCAATAACAAATAAAATAATAATAAATAAAACAAATTATAATTCGCTGTTTTCGATAACGATTGCAAGTATAAAGAACACAAATTTATTCCGACCAACAAAACGAAAAAGGTTTTTTTTTTACGTGCTACGTACGTCAAATTAGTCATAGATAACCGGAATTTACCTTTTCACGATCGGTCAATCGCGCGAATCCATCTAGATGACAGTTGTCAGATTATATGGATCTATTTGACCGATCAAATTCAGCGATAAGATTTTACACGCGGTCGAGAAAACGAGAGTTCCCGAAACATTTCCTCGCGTTAGGGTTCCCATCCATCCTGTTTTTTTTCCGGACACTGTCTTTTTTTTTTTTTTTTAGAGTGCCGGCGACATCCAGGCGGCATTTCCGAAGGCGTCCGCGGTGATTATGACCGTCTGGTGTTTTAGAAAATTTTCTAAATAATTTACTTTATTTCTTCCGCGTTATCCTGAGATAGGGTAGCAAGCTATCCGTCTTCTTTTTTACCCGGACACTTGACAGCAATTCTACTCGCGTTCTTTCTTCGCCTGCGAGATCCCGCACGTGTTATACAGATATTAATAGAAAAGAAAAATGCAATACGCCTCCGATTATTGGCGTATTCAAGTTGTTTCGTAATTACAAGAGAGTGCGCCGGCTCATGATCCCACTCAGGAATATGTAACGTAAGCCCCTGCATGCATTATTCATCGGCGATGAAGTGGCGATTACTCGGTTAATTGCGGGCACAGATTGATCGCGCACTTAATAGAGCACCGTGCTCGAGGAGCTATTAAAATCGAACGGCTCGACGGAAAAGTTCTCTCCGCCGTCGGAAAACTAACAGTCTGGTAATTCGAAAAAGAGCGCCTTCTCTCATCTTAAATAGTCAATTATTGTATTTTTAAAGTGAACGGAGTGCAAATTGATTTATTTTTTTTTCATTCGATTACAAACATTGATTGAGCTTGATTTGTATTTTTTAGCGATTTAGCTTCAAATTCTTTATGCCGTTACAAAAATTCGTAATCCGTATACTCTTTAAATTGTAAAGTAAAAACATATATCACTCGAAATCGATTAAATACGTTAAATTGTGCGATGGTTTTGTTTATGTTCGTGATTTATATTTATTTTTGTTCTCCGGACGCAACTGGATGGTTGACTCCATAAAAAATGCCAGTGATGTTAATCGAGAAAGATAAGGAATGCGAGCGGCATTAATATTAATGAGCGATTGGCCGCATTATAAAGGCAAATGTTGTTACGAGACGATTTGCGCCATCGAGAATTCTTCCTGAATATTATCCCTTAATTTTCTATTATTGGCTTCCTGAATTAACGCGTTACGCCTGCGCTATCGAGAAATTTAACACGTGTGACCTTTCGCGATCACATGTGCATATTTTTTTCATTTCCGAGTGTTTACTAAAAACTCGGCTTATCTCTCTTTCTGTTTTAGATCATGAATAAGCGTCATACAAACACATGAATAAGCCGTTGAGATTTATTTGAAACGACTGTCAATTAAAAGATACATTTTCGAACTCTTTATCTTCTTTGGAGTCAATGTACGATTTCAAGCCTTAACAAGACGCTTGTTGTGACTGAGGTAATCACTGGAACGACCACAGGTAAAACTGTGTGTCGCTTCAAGCTGTAATTACAGCGGAGTTGAAAACTGATATCTATCGCGCGTAATGTCCACACCGTGTTTGAAAACAACCTATACATTATCGTGCCTAATATTGATACAGAAATAGACACACACACTTATCATTGATAGTTCATTTAACTCTGTAATATCTACCCTGTCACACGGTATTTAGATATTTTTAAATTTGTGATATCGCGGAAAAAAACGGCCGATGGAAATAAAGAATTTTTTATAAAACCAATATACACACAGTTAAAGATAACGAATTAAACATTCAAATAATAACGAATTAAACGTCCAAATGACCACAGTGCGATAAAAAGAAATAACGTTCTTATCAAAATCAGTACTCACCTTGACCACTCTTTTTAAACATCGAATTATACACGCCATCACAGATTATCTGCAGGGCATTAGAGAGCCTCTTGCCGCAGTACTTCTGCGCGCTCTGTTGATTCGAATATTGAGGATAGGCGTCCACTTGTGCGTTCCCCGATTCCGCCACAAGAAACGCGACGGCGATCACCAGGGTCACGAGCACGTTCAATCGATTCGCGGACATCTGAAAGCAATATAACTCTACGATTAGTCATTCGTTCGCGATCTCCGCGCGAGATCTGTCTCTTTTGAAAAAAAAAAGTTCCTAACTAAATCAACATGTATACATATGTACATGTGGTTGATATCATTATAGACTCCGAACTTTGATATTCGTAAAGAAACTCGTAAATACAAACTATTACTCGCTTTTATACGTGACCTCAATAACTTGTATCGCGATGTCGGAGAAACAAGAGGTATATGAAAGAAGAAGCAAAAAGATAAAGAGAGAGAGAGTGCGCGAGAAAGAAATAGAGCGTTGAGGAACATGTGTTTTATTAGAAGCGAATAGAAATAGCCAAATGACCGATCATCATTTATCGGTGTCATTGCACAGCCTTCAAGTAAACGAGTATTAAAAATGATGTCTTATCTGGAACCGGCCGGACGAACTGTTCACTAAAATAATTCCTCATTATATACCGGAGTATATACATATATCTAGCGATTTGACTTTATTCGACATATGTATGTCCGAACTTTCTTGGGGATATACTTTTCCAACTGTCCGTTCAGTTGGAACGTTTCAATGTGGAAACGCGTCGCGTTCTCTCCGAGAGTCTGACGGTGAAGTCTCGGGGGAGCCGCGCGGTGTATATTTGCGTCTGTTTACCGTTATCGAGATTAATTGAATGCATGTGTATAGCACACCGCGAGACGCGCTTATACGCGCCGCTGCGGCATTCCAGCGCGATCGCGCAGGGTGCATCTATTTTTAGATATCTTTCATTTAAATATAAATTTCTCTCTCTCTTTTTCTCTCTCTCGCGAGACGCGCGAGAGGCCGCGTACTCTCGGCCGCGCGTGTCGAGATAGAGAAAATCACTCTTTTCCGAACGAAAAAAAGAAGCGCGCTTTGTCTGCAAGCGATGACTTTGTTTACACCCTTTGTTTACACACTCCCGAATTGAACGGCGATTATTTCGAGAAATTTGTTTATTTCAGAATATCGCAAGCGCGCAAGATGTGCTCCTTTCGAGTGTTTTTGCAAGTACTTTTATGTGCAGCTATGTTTGATATTGTTTAGCAAAGTGTATAACTACTATTTTTTTGTACTATTTTTTTAGACTATATTATTTAAGTAAAATTGTTAGAAATTTTATTACTTTGTGCATGAAAATTTTATAATTTTATATATTTTATAAATTTATTTTATACAGTTTATGTATAATTCTCTTGTGTAAATTTTACACACATATATGAAGTTAGGAGATTCTCTGTATTCGGAACAACACGATAACCGCGCGATGGTATCGTGACATGGGATCCAAAAGTTTCGCATATATACATAATAATGCAAATGCAATACACAAGATAACACGCGAGTTTGCACGGGACAAGGGAGTATATTATTTTGCTTGGGATAGGTCAATAGTTCTATGGCGTCGAAGTCCATTAGCGATCGCGTGTTTGGTTTAGAACAATGTTGACTTGTTTTGCAGTTCCCACATCGCGCCCGATTAGTCGTGTTATCATCGAAAATGGAAATAAGGCCAGTAGCCTTGATGCGCGATCGTGGAGGAGGATGCGATATAACACACAATTTCCCTAGTATGTGTGTTTCGCACACAGTCTCCTCTAATTATATTTAAACAATCATTGCGTGCAGAATGTTGTATAAATAACGCAAGGTAAAACAAAAACACAGCAATGATTTCTTGCGTAAAATTTTGGATCAACTTTGAAAAGTTAGTTTGAAAATATATTGAAAGAGATAGCAATCTCTTTTATAATCATTTTTGCAATTTCATATTTCTAAAAAATAATCTTAATTACATCACCAAATTACATGTTAAATAAAATTTTATTTGTTATTTTATTCACCGTTTTTACTTAGACACATTAATATTGATCTGTACATTATAATAGTAATTTTAATCACGATATTGTGTGTGTGTGTGTATGTGTGTGTCGAGGCCTAGCTTTTTATCACAAGTTGCTCAATTGTCGAAGTTGCTGAACTCTGTGATCGATTCGCAATGTTATTGAGCAGACACGTGCCAGACTCTCATCACTGCAACAGACACACATCGACTTGTCCCCTTCAAAACAAGTTATGCGAATATAGGACAGACTATTTCTATTTCCGGCACACGCGTTGTAGCGATGGGAATTAGTATTCAACACCAAGCAGCGAGTGAAAGAAACAGCGCATATTGAGCGAGAGAAAGAGAGAGAACGATTGAGAGAGAAAGAGAAAGAGAGAGATGTCAAAGTTATCTAACCTTATTTATCTTTTCCTCGTGATTAGTTCAAATGCTGGAAACACAGTGTAGAACACTCGTAATCCTTAGGGAGTCTTCAACGTGATCGATCAATATACATGTTACCGCGAGAGAGTATGTTCTTAAAAGTGATTAAAACTTCCCGTATATTTTCCGAAAGAGACAATGTAGCGCTCGATATTTCTCGCTAAGTAATTTGATATTTCCAACACATTTATCTCTTACTAGCCTCTTATTAGCACTTTACGCGATGAGATTACGGAGGTTAATGTCTCGCTTTTTCAACCGATAGTTCGTAAACTAATTTTTTTTTTTCTTCCTCTGATCTGAAATTGCGTTCTGTCAGAACATAAAGAGGTAAATAAGCGTAATTATGTTTTCGATCGCGACACGCGGGAGACGCGCGAGACTCCGTATCTTGCCGCGAAAATGATAAGCGCGGTCGCGCACGTCGCCAACACGTCGCTCGGCGGAGCGCGTACGCACAAAACAAGTAAAAAATTGTACATTGCCAAGACTTTATCGGCAAAAATCGGCGAGAGAAACGCACAAACGGCGTAGGATGCGCGATATTTCAATATCCTTGTACCTCGAAATCTGTTTGCAATATTCACGTGATCGTGGTTTGTCTCATAATTTGTGTGTCCTTTCACAATAACTGAATAAATCCATTAAAACTGAGAAATCCATACTGAGAGATATTTGCAGAGCAGAACGTCAAATTAATTGATTTATTCTCGTGTAAATGTACAAAAAAGAGAAAGCGCGCACGTTGTATGCGCGACGTTGACATTTTGTCGCTTGTAAAATTGTCAAATAAATTATTGAATTGATGCAAATTTATAAGAATCGTAATTTATAAATTACGGCAAATATGAACTATAAACAAATTTCAGTTTTATATTTTTGTCTTGAATATATATTGCAGACGCGAATTCATTTCAGATAAATCTTCTCGCGACTCTTCTCCTTCTCTGAATTACTTATTATTATTCCGTATTGCGCGTAGAAGAAGCGTGCGAGATATAAATTATATCGTGTTGCTTCAAATTCGCGTAAAATGAGACCAAACAACAATTACCGTGTCGATATGGCGCGTATATGCCGTTCATTGGCTTCTCTCTCCGGCGCTTCCAACGCGATTGTAAACAATATCGAACTACATAGATTCCGCCGACGTTCTTCAAAGATGATGCGTACTTCAAGATAGCGAAAAGTCCTGTAAATTGAAAAGAGGACTTCGTCCATTCCGAAGCATCTTCTTGCTCTCTTCTTCGTTCATCCCCGGGCCACTCTCCTTTCCCACCCCCTGTGCTAGCCGTGCTTTTCTCTGTTTCTGCGAGAGACCGGCGCATTTCTATTTTTGTCCTCATCTTTTCTCTTGGTATTATCTGCGAAGTACCCGCCGGCAGACACGAGAGTAATAAACACGTGTATATAACCACTCGGAAAGATACTAAGCGGGCCGCGCACTTATAGGCGCGCGCGAGGGAAAACGCACTTATGTCGATCGAATGCGCGCGCCAGGGGTGATCGACTTTGTTGATTAGAGCAGGCGCGATCGCGACAGACAGAGCTAGAAAACTTTTCCGTTTTGTCGCAAGTGCGAACACAACACGGGCGCAAAATCGTCCGACAAACAAACTCCCGAGTTTTCAATTAATCACTTCGAATGCGCCTTGTAACGTCTTGTTAATTGAAATCGTTGTTTTAATTAAAACCGTAATTGAAATATATCTAATGAAAATGAAATTTTTTACATCGGTTTTTAATTAGTTTCCTATTTGCGCTATATGCGATATATGTTCGCTAAATACAGCTGATTATAAATAAATACGCTGAAACAGCAGAAATGAATTAATTGGAGCATATTACGGATTATATCGACATAATTTATTATATCGACATAATTTTATTGCTCTCGCTTTTGTTTATTATTATTCGCAGAAAATTTATTTTACTCGATTTTCTAATTGAAAATTTAAATAAAAAAATTACGCGCGCGGTTGTGAGATACGTGGTGAGAAACGAAGAGGAATTCCAAGAATTCATCGTTCTGCCGTGTGAGTCATGAGCGATAAAGACATGTATGTTTTAATTTTCTCGTCAAAGTTTCTTATAACGTGTGCGTGGTTCTCTCTGAATGAGGAAACTACGTACACCGTGCCCGTCGTAAAAACGAATCCGATTGCGATCTGTCAAACACCGCAAATGAGTTTGCTGCTTAAACAAGTGTAGGTAAAAATGTACGCGTAAAGGCATCTCTCGAAAACGTGAGGTAAGCTGATGTTTACCTGTAGGATGTTTATTTGATAGAGTATACGTACGTTTGTTTGGTTTCTTTGACTGAATTGTACAAGCAATGTTTAATCGCTAGCGAGCTGAGAAAATCTCTTCTCTCGTCTCTTATCAACATTTTAAAATAGTTACAAAAACAGATTTACGGCTTTAAGATCTGTTTTAGAAATGCTGTTCAACAAATTTTCAATTAAGATGTACAAGCAATATCATCATTTCTTGTATGCAAAATTTCACATAATTATAAGCAAATTATACACCAAAATGTTCTAAATTTATAAATAAAACGAGCAGTTATTAGAAACATGAGAGACTCGATAATCGAATTAAAAAAAGATAAAGATAAAGATGGCTATACGTATAATTTTAACGACAAATTCTAAGTGCTCGTTAATTTTTGCGTGATCGGCGCTGCGTGATGGGACTGGCGTATAATTTGAAGAAATGATTTAAACGAGCGAGACTTTAAGAGGCAGATGCACTCTCTAATGATACAATTGCACGGTGCACGGGCACCAAGCGTGCTGTACTGTCAATTCGAGGAGGACTCGCATAGCACTTGAGGCAGCTATGCTGGAATTAGTGTCAGCCGTTGTCCTCGAATAATTCGAGATCCGTATTTTGCTCTCTTTCTCTCTCTCTCTTTCTCTCTCACACATTATATACATGTATATAAGTTATTTTAAGCGATAATTTAAAATGATATCGCAAAACGAGAAGATACGTCTGGTTATATAAATGGTTATTTTTGAGGAAAACGTACGAATTAATGAAGTGTGAAGAAATCGTATATAAGCTGGTTATATCATTTTGATGACTGAGCAAAAAGTTGACTTGAATTTTATATATATTTTGATATTGCATATTTATACGATGACTTCAGATGATGCCGGAAAATGTCGAATAATTAATTATATTAATGCATCTGTTTTGAAATTTCTTGTAGACAAAATATATACATCCTTTTGCGAAATATTGTAATGAAGTGACGATGATACGTAATCGGTCCGTGCAATGATGAGCTATAGATTTCGTGGTCGTGAAAACGGAGAAATTATATACTCAAAATAATTCAGATCTCTTTACGAACAATCAGGAAAAATACATTTCGCGAGGCGAGAGATTATACGCGTCGATACGGGGGATCTCTGTGTGTCTGAAGTTCAAAGAAGAAAGAAAATCCCTCTTTCTTCGTATTTTCAATTAGTTTCTACGCAGCTGACGTTTACGATAATAAGAACATACATGATGAGTAGGACTTACTGAGTACATTGAGGTAAAACGCGGAGGATCACAAGGCGATTTCTCTATCACGGTGTAGTATCACAGTCTGGCACTTGGTCTCGGCCGAGAGGTGTTGCGGACAACACAGCAGGTAGGATGTGATCACAACAACAACAACAATAACGACGACGATGGCGATCAGGCTGGTTCCTTTCATCGAGGAGACGATCATGAAATACTTCGTAAGCGGTATCGGGCCACCGTCTCGAGGCAACGTTGATTTTTTGACACGATCAACCGTTCCCACTGTCGGAGATGCATTGATGCTCGTCCACGAGCACCACCTTGCCGCGTCTTCCTTCTCGTCACCTGTTCTGTTCGTGGAAAGCAGTCGCGATCGATCGGTCGATCGCGAAACCCCGTCGAAAAGCGGCGATCGCGCGGTTCGTTGACTCGCGATCTGTCGGATTCTCCTCGGTTCTCCGAAAAAAACACCGATTTTTTACTGATTTCGCACAGTAGAGGATGATCGACACTCGGCTTTTCGATACTGAGAGATCGAGTCGTAAGTCACATTTATCTTCTCTCAATTCTTTCTCTCAAACGAAAAATGTATCGCAAAAATGTATCTCTCTCTTTTTCTCTTTCTTCCTCTTTCTCTCTCTCTCTCTCTCTGTGCACGATGATATTTGTAGTGAAATTTTATCTTGCTTCTGTTCTTATATATATTCCGTGATTCTCGTTGATCTTCGAATCGAGAATATATATCGTTTTGAATTGAAAAAATCTCGTGGTCTCTTTAACGGGAAAAAAATTGGCGGGTGGTAACCGATGACGATCGCGAGCACGACGATTCGACGTGCGTTTCACCGCGAAGATCGACGAGGCACGTCTCGACCGCTCGGTCGCCGACGAGCGTCTCAGCCTCTTCCGACTTGGGAACGTGCGGTCACGTTTCTGACAATGCCAGGCCTGATTAACCGCAATTGTCACGAAGATCTGAGAGTCCACAAGAGAGGTTCGGTTTCTCCGACTCGGCAGAAGGTCGCTGACGATCTAGTCGTAAGGTGCCTTGGCACGATCTCTCTCTCTCTCTCTCTCTCTTTCTCTCTCTTTCTTTCCCTCCCGTGTAGCTGTTGTCCCTTATTTAAGTGCGGTCGGGGGACAGCGAGAAAGAGAGTGGAAACTGTCCGAGGTAGGGAGAAGGAGACGAATGAGCAGTCGGTCTCGAGAAAAGTGTCTCGTCTGCCGCCAAAGATCGAATGCAAATCGTCCGTCATTTAACCGATAATTGCTTGACAGGAGCACTTAAAGATCGACATTAGATGTAACCTCTTATTCTGTTACATTTAAGATGCAATTAACATTTTCTTCTCGTCGTGTCGCATATAAAGTCAAACGTGAAGATAAATACGTGTGTAGCATAGATAAGTTTCTTCTCGCTTAATAAAAAAAAACGCTATATTTTAGCTATCACTTTGCAGCATAATTGCAAATACTGCTTTTTTTCTCATGTCACTTTGCATATTATGTGGTCACATGAATACTTGGATAAAAATAAATAATTTTTTTTATAACGTGGATCTTTAAAAACAAATGCAAAAGATGTAAATTAATTTTCAAGATATTCAACTCCCGCGCGTGCAAATAGAATCCCATTAGTTTATTTTAATATTGATTGTTTGTCGACGAAATATTTTTGTCTTGTTTTTCCTGCCGCGCGCGCAAAGCGATCGAAAACGTCGCGGAGTGCATCAAGAATATATTTCATATTTCGCGAATCAATTAAGCCGGTCGAAGTTCAGGTGCCGTAACCCGTAACGCGAGAGAGGAAGAGAAAGAAAGAGGGAAAGAGAGAGAGAGAGCGAGACATTGCCGAGATTAGCTCGCGATCGATGCGCGCTTGTTTTCGTCGCCGCCGACCGGAAGTCACGTGGCGCGCGATATGAAGAGAACACAAAGAGAACGCTCGGCGCCCGTCGAAGGAATTTCTGTGAGTCAGAATAAATTTTTAATGTTTTTAACACAGATATTTTTTTTTGGCTGCGACTCGCTTGCGATACACGAATTAATATCTTCCCCGTCGCGTCTCTACTCTCCCGACCAACCTGGCTGTCCCCTGATTGTCTCGTCTCCGGCGGTCTCGCGGCGACGTCTGCGAACGATCGTCTTCAAATTGAATGACCTCTATCGGGAGGTCGTGTACGAGACTATGTGAGATACGGGCGAGAGAGCGGCCCGCGCGTTTTCTCGTTTCTTTTTGTCCCGCATTCTTCCAGCCTCCGCAGACGGCCAATTGCGTCTGGACAGTTGTCTGCGAACGTGTGCCACCGTCAGATCGTACGGCCGCACTCTCTCGGTGCGCACTCGCTTTCGTACGATCGCAATCGCCGTCGTCGTCTGCCGTCACACGGTAAGGCGGAGGTGCTCCTCCTCCTCCTCCATCTTTCTCTGAATGTTCGGTGTAGTGTGTGCGAGATCACGTATATATAACGTTCTAAGAGACGCGTTGTCAGGTCCGCGATGGCGAGCCGAATAAAAGAAACATGTTTGCGCGCGTCTCGATCGTATAAATAACTATCTGTTGTAATAAAAAGAACGGGAGAGCTTTGTTACTCGTGTTAACTATACGGACGAGATTCTAGACTTGATAAATATAAGATAAAATGTCTTTATAAATAGATTGTGTTTGCAGGCACTATAAATACACTGTAATTGTTCTCAATATGAAAAGATGACGATGATAAATGAGCAGGAAGTTAGAAAAGAACAAAGGTTTTTTTCGTTGAGCGCGAGATCTCGCGAGATTGTCATGTGTGGCAGCGGCACTTCTTAAGATTTTGTCCGTGATAACGCTCTCGGACGTTATCTCGATCTAAAAGTGTCAGGCAGATGCTGCCCTCCCCTTCTTAAACGGTCACACAAGTCCTGCAATTGAGTCAGCGGAGCAACGCTGTACGCGAGCAATTGTCCTCGTAAGCGAGGAAAGTACTGTTGTCCTACTTCCATCGGTCGGCCCTAATGGGGCCCATTACCGGACACGTGATCAGAAACCAGCCGCGGGTTTTCTACGCGGGAGTAAAAATCTCGTCGGTCTCGAAAACAAATTATGCGATTCCTCACGCTCGCTGAGCTTGCGCGCGCACCCCCCGATAATATGATAAATTTCTATTATGTACAAATGCGTGTGACTCGCGTCCCAATTTGTAAGTTTTTACATGCAATCTTCATATATATGTGTGTATATATATATATATATATATATATTGTATATGTTGCATTATATGTATACAAGTATAAGAGAAGTATGTTAAAAAAAACCGATAATATAGTAAAATATATTCGATTGAGATGTAAAATATCTTTTTGCTCGTAATAATATACATTGTGTGTGTATACGCACACACACAAAATCATTTATAAACGAAAACACTTGGGTTATTTTAAACCAAATTATTCCTGACTCTATTTTTAAGACGCGGTGCAGTTTGATGGCGAAAAAGGATTAAAACCGCATTTATTAAATCGAGAACGTTAAAAAAAAGTTAGGTTTTTGCAAGTTGTTTTTTTCCAAGAAATAAAGTTGGATGTATAGGGACGTGAAGCTGATCGGGCGATAAGTTAATCACAAGGCATTACGGTAATACGAAGAATCTTCAAGTACAAGCGCGGTTTGCGTGACGTTGTTCATTCGCTTTATCCACGACAGTGAAGTTTTTTCCACATGATGCAGTGGCACATACTTCCTTCACTTTTTTCACCCTCACTTTATCTAGCACGACGTGGCTTGTTATTCACTACGCACACTGTAGCTCACCGACGCGACACGTCGAATGAAAAAGTGTTTCTTAAGAACACGCGCGACTATATAAAAGAATGACTGTTGAAAATTTAATTATTACAAATTTAAATCGTGCTGGTGTTTTTCACTTTACGCAAACCTAATTAATTAATTTCTCGTTTGTGTACATGGAGAATGAAACTCACTTCCGATTCACCCTTCGTGGTCAGCTGTTCGAGTCCGAAGTGGGTCTGTACGTCGTTGTATTCCGGAATATAAATATGAACTTTGTTTGAGAGAGCGATCTTTTGTTTGTTGCCTGTTTTTTGCTTGCGCGCGCCGAATAATCGCGTTAAATATAAAACTCGGTTACAACAATAATCCCGAGATTTCTCCGAAGAATGCACGACATTCTGAAGGAACTTCACGCGCCAGATTAATCGCGGACAAGGAATGAAGAAAGAATACACATACGAGATACCACCTTGTGTGACGCGGTCAACGATCGTGATCGATAAAGGCTAACGTGGCTTTTACTCGTGACATTAGCGTCGTCACTTTGTTTTGCACTGATATTTGTTCGTAAGAACTGCGGATGCACGGTATTTATTGCTTGAGTGGGCAGAGTTCTATCGTATAAATATCGGGAAAAGTTCGCAAGGCGCTGCGCAATTCACCGCACAAGACGGTACTTGATGTACGTAATACAGACAGATTATAACGAACGCGCGAAGATAAAATAAAAAAAAAGCGAACCGAGAGAAGTTTAACAATGACATTAATAAAGCAAAAATACTACGACCATTTAGATGAGATTAATTTCTATTTTGCAATTTTATTGCAATATTTCTATTCGGAAAATTTGCATAGTAGAATAATTTACGAGTCAATACTAAAGTTATTAATTTGATCTGTTTATCTTGTCGTTCTACGTATAACATATTACTTCGATAATTAAACGAACGTTGCATTAATTTACTATTATTAGTAATTAAATAATTCAAAATTTATAGACTATCGACAGAGAGAATTAATGTTTCAGTTACTAATTATTCAAATAATAATTGAGACATTTTTTAGCTCTCGGTGGCCTATAATTTTAATTATTGGTGTTATAATAACTCTTCGCGACGGCGATCGAAGTCTACCACGTGTCGGGCAAAAGATAGAGAATAGATCGGCGTTACTTACCATGCGTGCTCGGGCGATTGTTCCTCGATGATGCGTGTGCGTCTTGTAATGACCGAAAAGGTGGACGCCTCCCTTATAAACACAGTTCACGCCGTTAATAATGCTGAGTAGTACAGACGTGTTCATTAAGCACCGGCTTACCTGTCAGCTATAATCGGGCGGCTCTCTCTCTAATGCCGCCTGCATACAGAAGGGCGTGCGGTCAAGCGTGAACTGGTCACTATACTGATTTTGCACCCTCGCGCCGGCCGATTTGGGCATAGATATACAGATTGCTGATGCCATAGCCCCCACCACAAAATTTCTGTCCCTAATTGAAAGTACATTTTACAAGAAAAGTTCTCCCGCGATTGCGAAAATTTAAAAAATATTTCTATAATTTGCAATTTATTAATAATATTCTTAAAAGTTCTAGCTACTCTATTTGATATATTATAATTGTGTGTGTGAAAACAATTAATATGTAAAATAAGATATGTATTCAAAATATTGAATTTGTGTTATTTTATTTGAATATTATAAAACAAGGCTTTACAACGTTTTAAAAAATTGTTCGCTATTATAAAAATGTTAAATATTTTATTTACAAATTATCTTATATAAAATAGAGCGAGCAATCAGTAATAAGATTTCCGGAAAACTTCTTAAAAGATCACCGTAACTGCCTTTTTCCCTTTGTTTTGTAACCAGATGTCGTGACCCAAAGTACAAGAAGTGTGGGCTGTGGTCTGTGAAAAATTAGGTTGTCACGTATATTTTTATCAAAAAAAAAAAAAAAAATGCTTTTTAATTTCCTTGTAAAAGAGAGAGAGAAAAAATGTTTGTTATCTCAAGAAATGAAAAACACGTGACAATTCTCGCAGCAATATAAGTTAAGAAAATTATGTAAGATGTTTATGAAGATATAAAATTTATTTTGAATATTTAATTTGATAACAATATTTTTTGCAAATTTTAATATGTCGAGACTTATTATATTATTAAAGTTATCAATATTATTGCTACTCGTCTAGTCTTATTTAGCAACACTTTTAATATCTATACTCTCTCTGAGACCTTATATCGTTTTTTATGATCGTTTTTTCACTTAAAGATATCTTTCTAATAAGCCACTCTCGAGTAATTAACTTTTCATAAGCTACTTTTTTTTTGCGTGCCAAATCGGCAAGTTTTATGCGCGATAAAAATGGATCTTAACATAATGTGACTTTATTCTAAAGACTGCACTGAAGACTATTTCGAAGCATAACTGACCTAGAGTATCTACTTCATACTTACAATTAATGATATCATTGATACTAATTGACACCTTTTAGACGTCTTTATTGGAACGTCTTTTAGATCTCTTAAAAGGGCACGTCTTGTCCTAAGTATCTATCTATGTATCGGTCGCCGACAATAAGATTACATATTTTTCATGTTGGTGAAATCCACCAGATCGGAAAGATCTCGTGGCCACGCTTACAGCGCCCAAAATGGAAATTTTAGATAAGAACGTTGGCGCCCGTGTTTACGGACACCCGAGTTGAATCGATGTGACTTATCAAGGACGCTATTTTCGATTAGAATACCGTGCTTAAGATCCCGTGAGATTGTAATGGGTCAACGAGCGTCTTCGGGCGCGTCGCGAAGTCATTCGAGTTCGGCGAAGCATCGTCTCGAGGTCGATTAACGCGTTAACCTTCACGTTACCAGTTTTCATTTTATTAATGATCGGATTTCGCTGGCGGCGTGGAATCTGTAATTTGGTCGTTTCTTAATATAGATTCTTCTAATATGGAAGCTCCGTTTGTATGTAGTCTGCAGGTGACGTAAATCCCGTTTCGAGACCGACGCGACACGTCATCTTCGCATTTCGACAGAAACAACGCGGTTGATCGTTTAATTCACTACGTTATAATTACAATTTAGAATTAAGATAAAGATTTCTGGAAGTGCGAATAAAATTGTCTTTCGCTAAAAAGAAGTTTACTGCAAGCAATAACATATTTGTATCGAAGAAAAGTCGAACAGTTTTTGTTTCTGAAAATATAATAGGTGTGGTACATACATTTGTAAAATTAATAGTTGATGATTTTACAAAGATGCGCAACCGCGAGAGAGATAATATATAGTTACAATGCATATTCACGCGCGCGTCAAAAATTAAACAATATAAAGGAGAAAGATTGTTGGCGTTATGGGAGAAAAGTTATTGGAAAACTTTTCGCTACGCGGTTAGAAATACCGAGAGGTAAATTAAATAATTCGCAAACCACATCCTACATACATTGGCCATATACATTGAAAAACTTCGTGTTTTCATTTCCATATTTATCGAACAAAGCTTTTTTACGTTACATACACACACCAGCGCGTTAATGTTTACTCCGTGAGTGAAGAACGTGATAGGGTAAAAGTCTTGTAACTTCCACATGCATACTGTATGATGTTTCAGCAACCTGGCATCCGATGAACATGAAAGCCAACTTGATTCATTACTTTGCCACTTTGCAACCCGCAACAGCTTGCTTTCGTGCTGCAATCGATAATGAGTTGCAGTAAAGCATGGACTAAATTGACGATCGGACGATGACCTTTTGAACAAACCGTTGTTATTTATATGTGTGCATGTATATTGATAAAAAAAACAAAAAAAGATTACAATCTAATCGTTGTACTTTCTTGTAAAATTTTTATCTCTCTATACATTTTTGAAGACGATAATTCTGATTGTTTAAATTTTCGTTTCACTACTATTGCTTTACGATGTGTAATTATTTGAATGTTTTTTTGTTTGCAATGTGAGGCTCTAGATTGTTACAATCAGTAATATATACACGTCCTTTATAAGTAAGAGAATTTAAATCGATTTTACAGGTATGAAGAGGATTGGAAATCAGGACAATATTAATAGACATCAGATTTCTTGTGTAAGACAAGTTGTATTCACTAAAATTGTTTGTTGATTCTAAGAAACATAAATTATTATTGTCGTATTTGTTTATTTCTCGATTCAATTATTCCAAACTTTCATTCACATACGGGAATTAAAGCGGGAAATCACAAGCTAGGAAAGAAATAAAATACACAAATTCTTTTAAATATATTTTATAAAACGTCCTATTTTTATACAGCATATAAAACAATACTCTGTATTCATTTTATATTCACACATTAGCTCTATATATTTATATTCTCCATATATATATATTTATATATATGACCGTGTACCACCATAACCTTTCCAGTTATTATGCATAACTTTACAGTATTCGGCGGATTTTACATTAATACTATGACAACGCGCTATCCTTTGTCTGCTGAATTCCTTGCTTGCCGCTGACTGTCGCGGCGGCGCTCTGATTGAACTCGTGTTCCGAGCCGTGATTTTGCGCGATATCCAATTTCGTTACGTCAGCGCTTATAATCCTATCGAAAACCCTGTCCGTGGTAGGTTCGACGATATTGTTCAGTTCAGGAACCGTCGTTTGTTTGGGACGTTGCCCGTCTTTCGCGTCCGTCGCGCTGCTCACCGCTCGCGCGGGTTTTGACGGACCCTTCAGGTGTATAATATGATTATTCAGGGAATCAGTATTGCTCTGTTTACTGCTTATATGATTGTGAACCGCCGCGTGATTTGTAAACACGGAATCTGTCTTCCCCAGAAATTGTGCATTAGACGTCTCAGTGTTGAAAGGTCGGTCGTTCACGTTACTGGTCCAGAAGGAATCATCGAACACGTCCTTGTCGAGCTGATCTGGCGGCAAACGACTGATGCGAGTTCTCACAATCGAGAGGTGTTGGTGCACGTAATCCTGATCCGGTGCCAAAGCAGCCGCGCGTTCCAGACATTGCTCGGCTAAACCTAGTTTACCACGCTCCACCATTACGACGCATAAATTATGCAATCCCTGAATGTTGGTAGGATCCAATTGCAGTATTCTGCGATAACACTGAAACATTTACGGTTTCAGAAATGCTAATTGTTATAGCAAGTTTATACAACTTCGCAAGCTTCTAATACCAGTACGAATAAATTTGAATAGAGAATTGTTCTGATATATGTGTAATTGTCTTACATTTTCCGCGGCGTCCAAGTCCTTTATATTGTTAATATAAATGTCTCCCAGAAGAATTAGGCCTTTCACGTGATCCGGATGAAATCTGACCAGTTGGTTCAAAAACGGCGCCGCTTCAAGCGGACGCTGCTCGTCCGCCAGAAGTAACGCGAGATTGAACAGCGCGGAGCGGAAGTCCTCCTTCAACGCGACGGCATTGCGAAACCAACGTTCCGCACCGCCATTGTCGTGATCATCCATAGCCAACATTCCCAAATTGAAATGTACGCGCTCATTATTAGAATCCTATAATCAGATAATAATAAAATGGTGTTTTATAATGCAATATTTACAATCGTATACACGTTTTATAAACACATTAAAGAAAAAACAAATACCTTTCGTAAGAGCTTTAAAAGCCTCTCTCTAGCTATTTTTCGTAATTCCGCTCGTCCTAATTCTTGGAGTAATATAGCAGAGTTTAATAAAGCCTGTTCGTGCTCCGGATCGAATTCCAAAGCTTTGTCCAAATATGCCAAGGCTTGAGACGCTTTTCCTTGTTCCAAGAATACAACACCAAGCTGAAAATTCAAAAAATAATTTATTTTTATATCTTAATTATATTTATCATATTGTTTAAGCACGCTGAAGTGATATGCTTACATTATAATAGATATCAGGATTATTACTGTCGTAAAATAGTGCTCGTTCATAGACTTCTTGAGCCTCCTTTGTACGATTAAGTTTAATTAAAATATCGCCACGATTAATATATGCTTGTGTATAATCTGCGCGCATGCTAATTGCCTGTCTGTATAATAAATCAGCTTCTTCTAATCTAGTTTCGTTCTTAGCGATTAAGTTAGCTAAATTAACAAACACATTTAAATGATTCGGTGCTACACGTGCTTGATAAGACTCTCCCGGTTTCGCTTTTGGTAACAATGACTTGGCCTAGAAAAACACAAAATAAACATGAGAGATGTTTACATTGCATATTATCACAACAATTAAAATAATCTTGCAAAAACTTTCGTTATTACTTACCTTCAAATACGCATCTTCAGCTTCCTTGAACATTTTCAAATGATTGTAAGTCCGTCCGACATTAATGTGTGCTCCAATATCGTCACCCTGAACTTGTACAGCCATATTAAAAAAATTCAATGCTTCTTTAAACTGGCCTTGACTTTCTAACGCATGACCCACGTTATTAAATAACTTAGCATTCCTGTCGTTCACTTTCAAGCCAGACATGAATATTGAGTATTCATCTAGCCAGTCGTAATTCCTGACAAATGTCTTCGTCGTATGTGCCGCCAGAAGAGTCACGAGTAAAAATAGCACTAATTTCTTGCATCTAATAAAGATAATATCCGCATAAGACACACATTAGATTCTTCCTTCGATTCATGAAAATAATTGGCAAATCAAATCACACACGAGCTGACTTACTTCTTGTCCGCCAAAATGCTCCATCCATATCCAATAAGCATGCAAAATCCCATTGAAGGTGCATACAACACTCTCTCAGCAATTACAAATCCAACCGGGAAGAAAAGGTTTGACGCAGGTAGAAAAGGGAGTATCATCATAGCCAAACTCTGTATTATTTTGTAAAAATACAGATATTAGACTGATGTTTTAGCACTTCACACAGAATCTATCTCTCTAAGCATACACAAATTTTTTGTTTAGAAAAACATGCATAATTTCGTCCAAATTTCTTTTATCTCAGAAAAAGAAACAAACTGTCAAAACACCGTTATTTGGTTATTTATAGTTTCTTATCTACTTTGGTTATTCATAGTTTCTTACTATGTTTCTCTACTATATAATATATTACACATTGAGTTTTTTTATTGCTTACCATAATAAGTATGACTGACGTTTGTCTGCTATGTGTTACAACAGCTGTTACAAGCAATCCTATTACAGTTCCGTGAGTAGCTAAGGTCGCGAGGTTGCGAACATCCACAAAGCTTTCTATCAACGGTATCGTTCCCATTGTCCAATCACAGCATAAATCACTTGGAAGAAATAGCAGTCTTAAATTCACTGCGGCAAGATAATTATATGTAAGCTGTCTTGTTGGTGTTGCAGCAACCGATGCGGGATTGTCGAATCTGAAAGATGTACATTGCTATTATTTATCAATTTTACCGTACAATAAATAAATGTCGCATAATAAATTACGCATGTTTACACATCTGCAACCAATCATACCTGGTAAATACAGGTAACTTCGAGCCCATTATGTGTAATCGCAGAATAAGCAGGCTAAATGTAACAAGTGTAAGAGCGGTCAAACGTTTTGTACCCTCGCCTGACCATGCAGGTGAAATTTTATTACCACCAAAAGCCGATTTCAATGCTAAGAAAATATCCCTCGCTCTAACCTGAATATTGCAAATGATCAGTTAATTACAATTTTTTTATTGAATTTCTAACATGTAGCGGATCCGGTGATTCCTTACCTTCTGTACAACAAAAATCTCATACAACACACAAACTGCAGTGGCTGTGATTCCCTGTTCCTTGCACAACATTGCAGTGAATACAAAAAACATAGATAACATCAAGGATTTCCACCCTACAAAAGCACACAGTGCATAAGTAATACGTGATGTGTTTTCCACAGTGTGGATCATTCCACAGTTTTTTGCATTAACATTATTACCTGTAGATCTTTTGCTTTTGCAACATTTAGTGTACGTGATTAAAGCTGCCAGATAAAATAAAGAGGACAAAGTCTCTGCTCTACCAACTACACCTGTGACCTAGGGATGTAATTATGTTTAAACGAGATCAAAAATGATATCACTTCTTTATATAAGTAATAATTTTTTATCTTTCTAATTTGTTTTTACATACTGCTTCTGTGTGTATAGGATGTACAGCAAATAATAAAGACGATACAAAACTTGCTGCATCTGGTAGAAACATCAAACAGGTCCTGTAAAGGATTTTTACACAATTTTATTTTCAGACGCAAAATTTACGAAACATATTTTGTACAACAAAAAAACTTTCGGAGAGATTAAAGAAAAATAATTTTCGATCTCTATTTTTCTTTTCATAATGTTGAAAATTGACGCGCGAGATCGATATAAACAAACCTGAAATATAATAAGCATACTCCAACATGTAGAATAACATTTAGTAGATGATATCCCATAGGATCCAGTTGATGAATCAGGTAATTCCATCGAAATGTGAGTACGCAAAGAGGTCTATAAGATTTGTGCGACTGTTCCTATTAAAAACAAACAAACACACACAGAAAGACAATTGATTACTTTGGAGTAACTGTTTTAACAATTATTTAATTAAAAAAAAATATACGAGAAACATAACATTTTTCATATATTTTTTGAATATTCTAAAAAAACAATTAAAGAGGTCAATTAAAACCATTTGCAAATATCGATAAAATTTATATCATTATTGTTTTTTATTTATTAAACATCCTTATGATTGTTCAATTCATATATCAAAGACAGGAAGTGCATAAATAATATTAACTTTATATCATTATTGTTTTTTATTTATTAAACATCCTTATGATTGTTCAATTCATATATCAAAGACAGGAAGTGCATAAATAATATTAACTTTTTGCGGATAGATCTCAAAAATGACTTACGAGTCAGACTCGTCTGTGAGACCACGCGACTTTAAAATCGAATATCTCCGTGAAAAATCAATATTTTTCAATTTTGTTTTTTTTTTTTTTTATCGAAAATTTTAACCCTTTCTGGGTGGAAAAAAAAAAAAAAAAAAACAAATTGAAAAACTCTAGCTTCGAAGATATAAGCGTTAAAAAAAATTTAATTTTTATTAGAAACGCAATTTTTGAGTGGGAGAGTTGAGTCTGGGAGAGTTAATGTCTGTCGACGAAGAGTTAATTACAGTTATTACAGACATAAATCATAACGATTTTAAATTCATAAAATTGGAATTTCATATGTGTAGGAAAATACTTGTGTTCTGTGCGTATTTCTGTTCTTACACAGTAACGTTCATTTTGAGGACATATTTTCAATTAATCTATACGAATATATTTGTGTATGTATAATTAGTATGCAGGTCGCAGTCTCGAAAATTTAGTATCTTATTAAGATCAATCAAGCAGTCTACAATCTCAAAATAGACGCGAAGAAAATCTATTTGCCGTATGTAGTTGCATTTTGTAGTATCGGTTTTCTTGTTAAGTCCAAGAGAAGTCGATATCGGTAAATTTGAAATTTAAAGAATAATAAAAAGCTTTTGAAAAACTTTGATGTGACTGTACCGTCTCTGAGATATGAAAAAATGCAGTTTATATATATATAGATTTAATTTAATTATGTTCTGTTTTATAAATGAAAACTCGATACATCAAAAATAATAAGTCGATGTTACAGATGCCGATAAAATTCCTGTGTCCAACGAATTGTTGCGTTTATGTCACCTAAGAGTAAACAACAATCATTCGTGAGAAAACAATAAATCGAGTGTATCAATTTTCTTTCTTCCTTGATAGTATATCTCTCTTCTACAGTTCTGTGATTCTCATGAGAAATCAATAGAACATCAGTGCAGAACTGTCGAGATTTCTGAAGAGATTTCGAGAACGATCAAACATTATCCAATTGTCATGGGTAAATAGTAAAGAAACCGTTGTTCGCATACTGATGTGCAAAAATTGAATATATCTGGGAAATCGTGCCGGTTTCGCGATTCTCCACTTTATGCACGGACGAAGCGAAACGAGGGGGGAACGGAAGACAGAACGGGGGATCGGATCGGGATGAAATGGACAGGACGCTCGCGGATCAATACGCAGGGGGCCGTCTATAGTAGCGGCGGAGAGGGAGGGGAGGATCTCGAACGCGCGTCCTCCAGCAATGGGGGAGGCCGGACGATACCTCCACATTCTCTTTCTCTCTCTCTTTCTCTCTCTCTCTCTCTGTCACACACTCATTCTCTCTCATTCTCTCTTTTTCTCACATACGCTCACTCTCTCTCTCTCTCTCACTCACACTTTTACTCTCTCGCACCTTATGCATCGGAGTACCCCAGAAGTCGTTGTAGAAGACATTCTTAAGGGGCGTGTGGGGTCTGAGGTCGCGGTTATCCTTGATCGCCGAGATGTCGTCGAAGACGAAGCCACAACCGAGGCTGTTTAGGTACACGGCGAACGCGGTTACCGCCACGATCGCCGCGAGTGCTCCCCGCGCAGGCACTCCCATCACAAATAACACATCGATCGGCCGGTCGCCTTTCGTTTCTTTCGCGCGATCTCCACGGACCGCTCGGGGAAATAGAAAGAACGTTTCGCACTACGTTCTCTCTCACTCTGTCTTCCTCTCTCTTCGACTTCTTCCTCTCTTCCTATCTTCCTCTCACTCCCAGCTGTATCGCGGTATTCTTAATAATTTCGCATACTGCACGAGAGACGCAAGAGTGTCATCTCCACGTACGTCGACCGCGTAAACCGCGTTTGCTTTCAGGCACATGACCACTGATCGCGACGTGCCGCGACCGGATACCAACACAAGTGCCGGCGAGGCGATAAACCGCGTCGCGGCGTCGCCGACATGGTCGTCACTCTGCTCTGTGAAACAACGAAGGAAAGGAACTTCGGATTATCGCGAACCCTCGATCAACTCTCTCGGTTCCTCAAGTGAACTCGTTTCGTCGCGATCGAACGCGAAGAAACACGACGGGCGCGAGGAAAACGCGAACGTACGATACGCTGACGTACCGTGCACCACCACGATCGAGCTGTCAAACGGAACGTTGCGCACAGCCGCGCAGCCGACGACAGCGACGCTCCGGCGTCGTTGCTGCGCGCGCGGGCACCGGACTCAAAAATTGAACTTTGCATTAAAGAGTTTACACATCGGATCATATAATGCAAATTATTTAACAGACAAATATTACGCGTGCTATTGTATTTATACTTTTTGTATAATTGTATATTCTCAGATTCGTGTATAATTCTCTTCTTTTCTTTTATTCTCGTCGGGACACGAACTTCTCGCAAATTAAGATTTTATGTCAGTTAAATTATTTAATTACGTATAAAATCTCGATTTGTATCTTTCGACAAAAATAGAAGAGAATGAAATACGAGAGAATCTGAGAATATGAGATAACGTCTCTCGAAGTTTCTGTCTCGATATAAACACACAAGAGAGAATAATCCGAAAATATATATAATAAGTACAAAAATCTGCCCCAATAGCACATGTAATCTCTGATAATAATTGTTTTATAATAATCGTATTGCGCATTTGCATGTATTTGTATGTGTGCAATATATTACAATGTGAAATAATTCTGAACATGTAATAACAAAGATATATAAAAAAGAAGAAAACCACGTATTAAAAAAAAATTGACCTTTCGATGACTTTAAACTAATAATTGAAGAAAATCTATATCTCTCAATATCGTATATAAACCGGGCGTTCTGCAGACTTCAAGACAAGAAGCAATTGGCAATTTAAAACAGAGTGATAGTTAAATCCCACTCTATCGTACAGCAAACAAATGATCGATCTAAAGTTGTCAACAGCTGTCAAAAGCTATGTATGTAAGATGGCACAAGATAAAAAAATAAAATCTTAAATTTCACTTATCTGTCAATATAAACTTGTTATTTATATTATTGCATGTCGCGTATAAATAATAAACTTATGTAGAAGACGAACGCGCTTAGTTTCTATATGTCGTTGGCCTGTACGTCAATTTTGTTTTTAATTAAAAATTTGCTTGAAAGAAGAGCTGAGAGCATTTTACATATCCTCGAAGTCCTCGAGTGATGTTCGCGTGTTTTCTAAATATAAAACCATTTCATTTTCACAATACGTCGCCGTGTAGTAGAGATTACCAGCGCCTCCGTCTCCTAAATCGCAGAAAAGTGAGACAGCGATGCTACAACGTGACGAAAAATAAAGACGAAAATTACATTTACAAAAATTATCAACGGCAATAAAGAGACAAAATTAATTACATATTTTACCGCGTGAAAATATCGACTATAGATTCATGTGTTTTTACAGAGTCAAAGAACCAATTCGGAGAAGAAGAAAAAGTCATAATAAATTTGTTTTTTTTCGGCTGCACTATGATTGGCTCGCAAGAGAAATGTGCTGTCCAATCACAGTTTTAGTGCAGCTTCGAGAAACGTGTCGATGTTATCTGTGGAGCAAATATCGAGGGAGATTGCGAATATGCTGCAATTTGCACATAGATGGAGGTGACTCCGATTAACCAATCGCAGGCCAAAATTCTCCAACAAGTACTGTGTATTGTTATTTTTTGTTATAAAATCTGGTAAGATGTTACGGTTCTACTCTATCCTATCCTGCCGTATGTTTCTGAAACATTAAACACATATTATTTTCGAAACAATTGACCGACAATACACTTAAATATTAAGTGCGTATATTTGCAACACTGCCGAGACAAGTACGTCATTGTCATATCGGAGCAAGAATTTATGTTCGACGTATATTAAAAAAACGGTGAGAACGCGAATGTGTTCATGTTCTGTTCTTCTTTTGTTTCGATTTGATCTTTCGTTTCTCAACTTTTCGACCGTTTATGTAACAGCGATCGTCCAGGTTGGATCTTTTTAGAGATTTCAATCTTCTCGAGAGATCCGTTTTTGTTAGTGTGCCGGGTAGAAGTTTATCAAGTACGTGAATGTAGCGATAGTTTACAGTTTTTGCTGTGCAATCGATTTTTTTTACTGATCTTGCAAATGGTTCATATTCGCACGTGAATATAAATGTAGAATATACCAATGTTTTAAATAGTTTTTACTTACAAGTTTTTATAGTCAGATACGTTGTTAATAAAGAAGTATCGCATGTGTAACATCCAGATGATAATCTGTGAAAACATTGATTTGTTGATGACAGGTGATTTGTGAACGTTCATTATGCCGCGTAGAAAACAGCAGCAGCAGCAACAGCAGAAACGCTGTGTAGGCGAGGACACCAGAATTGCAGTTAACTTGACTATAAAAAAGTTGTTGAACGCACCTGATCAAAAAGAGTTGGAGTTTCCATCTTCTTATACAGCAGAGGAGAGAGCATATGTACATGAACTAGCTAGAAAACTTGGCTTGAAATCTAAAAGTCGAGGGTACGAGTAGGATATATAAATCTATTTTTTAGTTGATCAATTTTGAGTGAGAATTTTATTCTGATAATATCTTACATTTGTTTTTTTTTTTGTTTTTTTTTAGCAAAGGTACAAATCGATTTTTGACGGTATATAAAAGAGAAGGTTCAACGATAGTCCAAGCTGATGCTGTGATAAAATTACAAAAAACTTCAAAGCAAAGCATATATAATCTGATGCAAACTTTTCCATTAAATCACAGAGAATGTCAGGACCTGCTTCCTCCAATTGAGAGAGAACGCCCTCTCAGTAATGATGGTATGCAATGAATTTATTTATTGTACATTTGATAAATTTATTTATTAATTGTACAGAAATATATTAATTTTTAATTACTGATTACTTATATTAAGGAAGTTGTGAGATATATGTTTGTTATATTCTCTTGTCAAATATATAGAGATTTTGTTATGTTGCATGAAATGTGTTATATGTGAATTTATTATATTTTAAATATTTAAGTTTATATTGTTGAGAATAATTTTTTTTCTGCAGTAAATACAAATACCAAGGCAATGGGCAGATTGAACAATAGCATACCGCAAGTACCTCAGTTGAAAACAAATGGTGACACTTTACAATATCGCAAGTCTCTGCCAATTTTTAACTCCAGAGAAGAAATTCTTAATGCGCTAAATAATTATCAAGTAGTCATAATTGCGGGTGAAACAGGATGCGGTAAAACCACACAAGTGCCGCAGTACATCTTAGAACACTATCAACAGAAGCATCAACCTTGTAGAATTATTTGTACACAACCCAGGCGCCTATCAGCAGTATCGGTGGCCGAAAGAGTGGCATACGAGAGGGACGAGAAAATTGGTCAGACATTCGGGTATCAAATAAGATTAGAAAGTAGAGTGGCGCCCAAAACTCTTCTGACGTATTGTACAAACGGCGTATTGCTTAGAACATTGATGGGTGGTGATTCCGCTCTAACCACTCTCACACACATCATTGTTGACGAAGTACACGAACGGGACAGATTCTGTGATTTTCTGTTAATAGCATTGAAAGACGCGTTAGTCAAGTATCGATCTCTGAAACTGATACTTATGAGCGCTACAATGGACACCAGTATCTATTCGAAGTATTTTAACAAATGTACCGTCATCAATGTTCCTGGTAGATCATACGAGGTGGACGTATATTTCTTAGAGGATATTTTAAAGAAAACGGGTTACATGACAAAAGAGATGTCACAGAAGAAAAAGAATCTTTTGAAGAAAAAAGAGAAACAAAAGACGCTGGAGACCTGGAAGATGTACAAACCACAGAATCTTACTGGAAATAGCAAGAATGAAAACAGTTTATTGCCTGCTCCGATTTTAGCCCAACAGAATGACCCTATACCTGAAAAAGTCAAGTTGGAATCTTGGCTGATCGAAGAAATGGACAAAAGCATTTTTGACGCTTGGGTAAACGGGAGAGAGGATTACTTTGCCCAACTTTTGCACTTTATATTATCTGAAAATGTCTCAGTGGATTATCAACATTCCGAGACTGGCATAACACCGCTGATGGCCGCCGCCGTCAGAGGCTGCATAAACACGACCGAGCAACTTCTCAATTTAGGCGCGAATCTCAATCTGAGGTCGGCCAACGATTGGACCGCATTAGAATGGGCAAAGAGCAGAAATCAGACCGAATGTGCCGAACTGATCGAGGCTTACATGAAAACTTACGATTGCTCAGTGTCGAACACCGAACTGCAGAATATCACAAGCACGTCACTCTCCGAAGAAGACAAACTCCTGCTCGACATATATCATCGCACATTCAACGACGAGAATATCGATTACAATCTGCTGTTAGAAGTAATATTTTATATTCATTTACAAAAGCCCCCCGGCGCGATTTTAATATTTCTACCGGGATACGACGACATTGTCATAATGAGAGAAAAAATCAATGCGGAGGAAAAAAAGATGAATCAAGGTTTACGTTACAATTTGTACATTCTTCATTCTAACATGCAGACGTGTGATCAGAAAAAAGTGTTCAAGCCCAGTCCGCACGGCGTACGGAAGATCATACTCTCGACCAATATAGCGGAAACCAGCATCACGATCGATGACATTGTGTATGTTATTGATTCGGGAAAAGTTAAGGAAAAAGCTTACGATGCGATATCGGGTGTCTGCACGCTGACTCCCAACTGGATATCGCAAGCGTGCGCGAAGCAGCGGAAAGGTAGAGCAGGCAGATGCAGACGAGGAATTTGTTATCGTCTGTTCTCTTCGGTCCGATACAACAGCATGCAACCTTACCAAACGCCCGAGATTTTGCGGCTGCCGTTGCAAGAATTGTGTTTGTACACGAAACACTTAACATCAGGTAATATGCCTATAGCCGAATTTCTGGACAAAGCTTTGGAGCCGCCGTCTAACATAGTAACTAGAAACGCGGTGCAATTACTGAAGACTATCGACGCGCTAGATCCGTGGGAAGATTTAACTGAATTAGGTACCCATTTACTCGATTTGCCGATTGAACCGAGACTTGGAAAGATGCTGTTGTATGCTGTCGTCTTAAAATGTTTAGATCCTATTTTAACGATCGTTTGCAGTTTAGCGTATAAGTAAGTATATATTTGAACGACACACGCGCATGAATGAGTATGTTACTATGTCACGAACAAATATTTACAGAGATCCTTTTATTATACCGTCCCAACCGTCGCAAAAAAGAGCCCTGACTGCGGTACGAAAGAAATTTGCGACCGGAACTTATTCGGATCACATGGTAGTTCTGCGAGCGTTTCAGGGCTGGCAGAACGCTCGCGCGACCGGTAAAGAGCGTGCTTTCTGCGAAAAGAATTTCATTTCCGCTCCGGTAATGGAGATGGTTGTCGGAATGCGTACGCAACTTCTTGGCCAGTTGCGTGCGTCCGGATTTGTTAGAGCTAAAAGTCCTGGCGATATTCGAGATTTGAATTCGAACTCTGAAAATTGGGCTGTTGTGAAAGCTGCTCTGACCGCAGGATTGTATCCCAATTTGATTCGCGTTGACCGAGATCACATGCAATTACGAACGCAGTATGTATAAATTATTTTGTTTAACGAAATTATTTGATGTGTAAAAACGTGTGTATATATATTGTATATGCACTGTGTTACATAAAGAAAAGAAGTCAAGGTGTTTTTCCATCCGTCCTCGACATTGAGAGATTACCCGAAGTCTCCAAGGATGACTTTCGCGCAAACGCATGCAGCTAATGTGCAATCCTTGCCATGTGAGTGGCTGCTTTATGAGGAGATGAGCCGTACCGGACGTTTCTGTCACGTAAAAGTAGTCACGCTGATTAACCCACTAACTGTGGCTCTGTTTAGTGGACCAGCTAGATTACCAATGGATGTGATTTACGAGGCTGAAGGTAACAAAGTGTCATTCACGCACACATATACGGTATACAATTGTGTGAACACAATTATCAATTAAATACGAAATACGATAAGAACGAACCAATAGCAGGATGTTACGCAATAATTACTAGACTAGTTAAACAACAAACGTTTCGACTTTAATTCAAGTCATTTTCAGTTAACATGATACTTATGACAACAATCATTCCAAAACGGAAAGTCCAGTAATTATTGAATAACATCCTTCTATTAGTTCGCTCTTGCCATATTTCACATTTAATTTTGATTAACCGATACAAATTGAAGATCAACTCTCGTTATATTATTTTACTTACAATTATGCATGTATTTGCAGCTGTACCGGAAAGCGAGTCGGATTCGGAGGTTGATGAATCCCACGAAGGCACTCTTTTTAAACTCGATGATTGGGTGGTATTTAGGCTTGATCCTGAAACGGCTCAACTGTTTCTACATCTGCGACAGAAATGGAACGCTTTATTCCTCAGGCGCATGAAAGCACCGAACAAGGCTATGTCGGCTTTAGACGAGAAAGTTGTTAACACTTTGGTGACTGTGATCACGAATGAGGAGCAAGCGTACGGGCTTCAACAGCCAACCGGCATCGGGCAGAGGCCACGTCCATTGATAGTCGATTATTATCCCGCAAACGTCAGAAGGGACGATTATCCAGAAGTAAGTATATAATGTTTGCTCGATATTTATTAATGTTCATAAATTCCGGTAAATTGTTCAGACGAATTTTAATGTGAATTTATATTTTTAGAGATATTTCTAAAAAGCTAGAGAAAGAAGAACTGTTCCGACTCTTGTTTAAAAAATAATCTGTGTTCTGTGTCGCGATCGTTAATTTTAATGAACATGAATTGCTGTTATTATTTAATTTGTACATGTGTAAGGGATTTTTGCTGTCATTATTTAATTTGTACACGTATAAGGGATTTCTTTAAGTGGATATTTGTGAAACAGTTATTGCAGTTATGTGATGTGTGTGATGTCTCAACCTGTAACACATATACTTGTAGAATGTACAAGTGTGTTTTATCACGTTACACATTCTGATTCCCAATAGATAAACTAACAAAAAGTGAGAGAGAGTGTGATATAATAAATATTAGTGCATAATAATAGTGCATAATAATAATCTCTCCCGGTTGCATTCGTTCTTTTTTACGCTTTAATGTAGCAGCTATACATATATATATATGTATGTATAAGATAGAGAGTATTCTTTTATTATTCTCAACTATATCTTGAAGATAGAAATAAGGGATATATATCATCGTCAAGATCAATGTATATCCGCGATGGGCCAACTCTCTGTCAATGTCGTGACACATATCGTGCGTGAAATTGTCGTTTAATTTTTATGTACAAATTTTACATGCTCCAAGTAGCACCACCGATTCGAAATTATGTAAATAAGCCTTAAATGTACGTATTACGTAAAATATGTGATATGAATTGCACAGTCACTACCGCTGTAACTTTAACTATGTTTAGTATTGTATACTCTTGTAGTAGAATATACACACAAATACAGTAGCTCCTCGGAAGTTTCTATTCTCATATATGTACGTTCGTCTCTCTTGTTCTTTTTTTTTTTCTATTTCTCTAACACGAAAAAAAGAAACAGGTTTGTCGTAAAAAGTGACGGATTTACGATTTTATTTTGGTGACGTACATTGCCACGAAACAAGATCCATTTTGTCATGCCCGCTTCCAATTTCTTCTTGTTTGTCCTTTATTTTTTGTCACATTGATTGGTCGGCGTTCTTTATATTTCATTTCACCGGCCGGGGATAACTTATGGCCTAAAACGTGACAAGAAGGAATTGATCTCTCACATCTAGGCGCGTTTCGATTTCAAAATCTCGTTTCGGAGGAGTTACTGCAATTTGTATAAATTATCGATTTTATTAGAGTAGTCGTATAGAACGCTCAATAATTAAATAACACGTGCTGCGCAATACATTTAAGATTTTTGTGTTTTGCAGTATTCTACTCCTGGAAAATCCTCTGATTATTGTTGAAAAAAAGAAAAAAAAACAGACTGAATTACATAGTGATATTCTTGTATCACGTAAGCGGACTTGTATGTGTACCAACGGGCAAACATTTTATATAGTGATATATATAAGTTTTTTTTTCGTTGAATTTTTGTTTTTCCTTCTGACACATATTATAATGTCAAGTACGGTCAAAATATTAGAAACAGAATGCATTTACCATGACATTTTAGTTTTATATCATGATGAGATCAGTGTTGTTTAATGTAAAACGACGGGACACGCACACACACACACACACCAAGCTAAGAATTGAGAATAAAACATATGAAATTGTAATGTGTCAAACCAAGAGTGTTTATTTACAATCATTAAGAGAATAAAAATATGAACACTATGTCAAAGAAACAATACAGTTCACCGTTCTCGTTTTATTTATACTCGCGACTGATTTGAGACGGACTTTGACTTCCGTTGTGTAAGAGCAATAAAATTTATATGTTTCTCACATGAGATATTTCTCACTCGTGATATATATAAATTTCTTGCGTTATGAAATAAAACAAAGTCCGCTCATAATATGTCAAATATTTGTTCTATTCCACAATACAGTAGTAATCGGAAGAAAATATAGCTGCGTGTGTAATACGTTTTTACTGTGTAATAAGTAAAAAGATTATAAAGTATGTCGTTCTCTCTTTATATGTATATACACTTTAACGAATAATTCTACAAAAATGTTATTTTAATCTAAGAATAGAGGAGAAAAAATATTAGAAGAGAGTAAAATGTATCAAAAAAAAAAAAAAAAAAAAAAATAGATGATTACACAACACGACAACGATGACACGTGTCACGCTAGATCGCGTTATTGTTCGAGCCCCACGTGATCGTGCGGTCGCACGAGAAGTAGCTTTAGTTAGGTTATACCTTCCGATAAAATGACAGTAGTTTGTAATCAAGTAATTAAACTTAGTTGTAATTATTTGTTGTGCTCCTCCTAGCGCACGTTAAAGAATAATAACGCGAATAGAAATTTGATTTGTTGTTAGTCATATCGGTGTTCCAGAAACACTTTGCGGCGATTGTCACTTTTTTTATTCGAAACATTCGCAAGTATATCTACTTGCGCGCGTCGTGTTATTATTGTTATTTATATTGTTATTTATATTTACGGAAAATTAAGACAATCACGTTTTCGTTGAAATGTTATTCGTCCAACGGAATTGTTATCGTCTGTCGACAGTGAATCGAATTTTGGAACGGTCAAATAGATTGTGGCCTAACCTCCTCTCGTTATCTCTGCGATGTAAATCAGGTGAGTCACAGCGGCTAACTTTACCTGATCGTATCGATTTGTTTTTGTCGACATCAAGCGACAGTTCGTCTTCGTTTCAGACAATGTGGTTGTCACTATCGCCGATGTGTCGAAGGAGGTGAAACCAGCAAAACGTCCGGAATACGTTCCAAGAAAATATTGTAAGTGTCGAGATCTTTTGTTTAAATACAGTTTTACAAATAGTGTTTTTTATATATATATATATATATACATACATATGTACAGTATATTGCGTTAGAACAGATTAATAAATTATGTAAACTGTAACATGATTCTCTTTACATGATTCTCTTCGCGACAGTGTTAAACGCTCGCTCTCAAGAAACGCTGAGGCATTTAAAATGGATGCTCCAGAAGGACGTTTTGCATCAGGATATGTTTCTGATGGGTGGTCCGGGTATTCGGAGACGGGAACTCGCGCTCGCATTTCTTGAGCTGACGGGACGAGAATTGGAGTTCATCGCGCTCAGCCGCGATACCACGGAAGCGGATTTGAAGCAGAGGAGAGAAATCAAAAGCGGCACCGCGCACTATCACGATCAGAGCGCGGTAAGAGCCGCGATCGATGGCCGGGTTCTTGTGATCGAGGGTGTAGAGAAGGCTGAGCGAAACGTGCTGCCGGTGTTGAACAATTTGCTGGAAAATCGCGAGATGCATCTAGAAGACGGCAGATTTCTCATCCCAGCGTCCCGCTACGACAAATTGCTGAAGGTACTGAAATTTACCTGCACGATCATGCGAGAGAGGATTTCGCCGTGTAAAGCTCAATTTCGCGGATCTCGTCGCGTGTTTCTGAAACAAGAAGAATTTTATTCGCAGATGCACACGCAGGCGGAGTTGGACGCGTGGCGTCTGGTGCGAGTTAGCGAGGACTTTCTTGTGATAGCACTTGGTCTGCCTTCACCGCGATATCCTGGTCATCCATTAGATCCCCCGCTCAGATCTAGGTTTCAAGCTCGACACATTCCGCCACCGACTTTTGAGGTAAGTACATTGGAAATACGTGACTTTTAAAAGATTAATGGATCGGTCTCTAAGACGCAATCAACCAAATCGATTTTCCGCGCGAAGCGTCGAAATGTTAAACGTCATGCAGAATATATGTACATAGAGAATTTATATCGATATTATCTTACCAACACATATAAAGTGGAATCAACATTTGGCGAAGTCATTAAACAAGTTTCTGATTGTATCTCGCGATAACATTTCATTAAAACTTCGTCACAACGATTTACGATCGTAGGTACCGCGTGATTACTCCGTCTCATTATTAAAATTGCTTGTCTCGACGATGTAATGATTAAAGGACACGAGTTTAATTTATTTCTTCAACTTCACATTGCGTTCTCTTCGCGATCGCTATCAGATGTAACTTCAAGAAGAAAAATTTATATGAAAGAAGAAAGCAACAATTCGATAATAGCAGCGAATTTACAGAAATGTTGTTCCACGTAAGAGACGATCGCGCGCGCGCGCGCGCGCGATATAACTCGTGAAACTTTCGCCTGATTTATGGGGTCGGAAGTGGCATACCATTAGACATGGGGTGCGGAGGTCACACAACCCCTCCGCCGCGGATCCGTCCATCCCTTCCTTCCCTTCGGTGCTCCTCTCGTTCGCATATAAAGGCGGACTCTTGGCTGCGCCATGGTCACAGGCATCGTGCGGCCTCGGATCGCGTGTCCCAAACAGTCGAAACCCTCACGTTCTGTCCTTCTGTACGCCCGCGAGTCGATACTTCGGGATTCGAACGACAAATTTTTACCTGTCAGATTAGAAGAGAACACGCGGAGTCATCGGTTCTCCGAGTTCCCGTCTCCGAGTTCGACAGCGCGATAGTTCCCGATGTTAATTCGATTTTCGTTCTTTTTCTAAGTTTTTTCCTCAACATTTTTCTCGCGAGGAACTGTTGTGACAATGAATTATTATTTTTTATGTTATTAAATAAAAAAAAATTGTAAAGCATTATTTTATTGCATCTTTAAATACATTAAAAATTTAGGAAAAGTTTAATAATATATGAAAAATATTTACTTTATTGTATTAATATTTGTATCAGATATTAAGCTCTCAAGTCTCTTTACAGAAAATACTTTTTTTTTTTTCATTTTACCTTAAAATATCGTTGTGTTTCGAGTAATTGTTGATATTCTTCACGCACCCCTCGTGTGTCGCGTTATGCCGGCTATATGGGCATCATCGGAGAGGCCTCTATTCGTCCGAACAGTCTGGGTAAACGGTATACGTCACGCCGTCCTGTCACCGGACGATCCCGTTGTTAATACGCGATTATGTCAGCGTCCGCGGACATCCACGGAAAAGAGTTTTCCCGCAAAGCATGAACATATCGATACGAGATTGGAGCGCTTGAACAACTGCTTCACAAATCTGCACGTGGTGGTGGAGAAGAACTTGCCGGACAACAAAATCCCGCCGAGAGTCGTGCGCAGACAGTCGGCTCCGCCTTGCTCGAGGATGTGCAACGAGAAGAGCGGAGGTCTGCTGGAGATTTATGTAAACGACATCGACAAACTGGACGCGGATCGCGAGAACTGCGAAGCGTTTGAAAAGGAAGACGCGACGAGCGAAACCTACGACTGTAACAGCAACGTCGATCAGTCGCGCTCGCAGCGAAACGCATTTTCCACGATGACAGAACGCAAACAAGCCGATAGATCACCGGACGCGCAGTGGAATCCTTTGTCTGAAAGGGTGTTGCAGTGGCTGGATCTCTCCGGACGGGCTCAGAACTACGAGTTGGAAATGGAATCGGAAGAGAGTTCGAAAGTCGATGAAGATCGACGATGGAAAGCTGTCAGGCGAAGAAGACATCTCTCGCAGACACGCGAGAGTTCGGTCTACGCGGAAAGGAAGTCGTCGCGCATAGTTGTGCAAAATTACAGGCTGCAGAAGAGCTGCAAGTTGGAGGCACTCGCGAAGGCGGCCGAGGCGAAAGTCGCACAAAAGCGATTATCCAAGATAAAGGACGCGACGACGGGATACGGGGAGCGGAAGGAGGAAAGCGAAGCCAAATCTGCTGAGGAGGAATTGAAGAACGAGGACGAATCTCGGAACGATCTGATGACTGTGTGGTCTCCGCCTGGTCGCTTACAACTGCACATCGTCATGCCGAGCTTCAATTCTGGCGTTGAAAAACGCGCCTCGTCTCTGGAATCTCTCGTCTGTGATTGAATGAACGGTAGATAGATCGACGGGTAAACGCAATAAACGTTTCCGTGTGTCCATCTGCAATTGACATTCCTTGTATTGTCACGTCGTTTGTCACGTTTTGCTTTGTGAACTTTTGCTTCTCGTAGCGTCGAAATAAAAAAAAACTCTGTGTGATATAAAAGTTAACGATGTAAAATAAACAATATTATATGTACTCTTTGAAGTGAAGCGATCATATTATATTACGATTTTGTCAAAAATCTTTGTGTGCCGGGACTTTAAAAAACAATGTGTTCTCGATGCAATATGCATTTTCGACGAATTTATCACGGAGGTGCAAGGTATTTATCGAGTTGATTGAAACAATTCATAAAAACAATTGTAACATTTTTGTTTTTTATATTTCTCTAAAAAAATATATTAATATATTTAACATTTATTTATTTAAAGAAATATATTAATATATTACTTCCTTTGTTATTTTATTGTGTGCAAGTTTATTATAAAAAAACATATATGAGATTGCATGCGAAGTACAACATCCAAGAAAATCTGACATTCTTTGTGTCACTTTGAGATACATCTCGACATTTTGCATAGATAGCACTTTCGTCTCTCGAGTTAATCCCAAAGTCGTTCTTTTGTAAATCCGTTGTGCGCGCCGAGAGAATTGGAGTCGACGGAGACGTCGCGCGTTTGTTTTACGTTGGTCGGGAAACTGAATAGAACTCAGTTAATAATAACGCGGAAAAGATCACTTAAAACTTTAAAATAATTACACGGTATAGAGTATTTAAACCGTTTGCTCATGAAACAAATACTATTCGTCACGAGAAGCGTAATGTATATATATATATGTATATATCATTAGTCTGTGGAAATTGCTGTCACGCGCAGAAAATGAACCACGAGATATACGTGCACGTACTACATATATATATATATATATATATATATACTTTAGAGAAATGTATGAGGAGACAGAAAGTGGAAAGAGACAAAACGTATAAACCAAGTAAACCATCCGCTGATAGAAATTGTCTTTGAAAGTTTCAAAGTAGATTAAAAACGTTTTTTCACAGAATAATCTAATGTCTTTTTAACGTTTCGCTAATTCTGGCTTCTCAAGAGTTTCATGTCGAAAAGTTTTCATTCTGCTACAAAAGACTTTTATTGCACCCCAATTTTTTCTCACAAATGTGAAAATTGATATTTCCTGTGTTTTCAAATTTTTTCTTTTTTTTTTTTCAATTACTAGAGAATTGTTCTCGAAACAATTGTCGACGCAATTATTGATCTATATGTGCAATCAAAAAATCAAAAATGCTTACGCTATAATTTTATACAACGTTGCCCTCTGTCAGTCGTTGTAATGGAAAATGAAAATAACGGAGCGGGGCCTGTGTGTTTGGGAACCGCACAAGACAGCCACATAATATCGCCGGTGTCTATATTGTCAGAACAATAAAACTTGGTGAAGAAATAATAGCGCGCAGACGTCTATTTTCTACACGCGCGGCGGTATCATCGTTTAACAATCAATCATCGCGAATGTCCGCGTGTGATAGTAAAATAGAAGTTTGACTTTGTAACTGAGATGGATGTCTTTCGGAAAAATACTTCCACATACAATTTAAATTTCTCAGTGATTATTAGTAGAGGTATGGATATGTGGGAATATTTAATTTTATGGAACAATGTTTCTGACGCACACTAACAGAGAATTCGTTTGAATATGTCAAAGTTTTATTATATTGTTTTACAATTGTGTAGAGCAGCTCTAAAATGGCAAAAGTACGTCGGTATTAACTTAACAAAAGACTCTTCCTATACGACGTAAGGTATTATGTTATCATATATTTGATCCTCGACGCGGGTGTGCGGCAAACCCCCGCCGGAAATTGCCGGAGGCGGGAAATCGCGTGTCCGCGAAATATAGACGGTTAATACATTGTTAGATCCGCTGACACACGTATAATATCTCTCTCGGAAAAAAAGACTCCTCGCGCGACCTCTTTTTTCACGAGGGGAGGAAGGGAGAGCTCGCGTTTTATATTAAACTCGTATTCAACCGCAACAGAGAGGAAGGAAGTGTCGATTTTCATCAATCCCCAATCTCGAAATTAGCGCGGTGCGTATCGTTGAGTAATCAGGACGTGTGTACGTACGACGGAAGTTCGATATGTTGGCAATAATCGAACGTGGGCTGGAAACGTAACGTGGGTGGGAAACGCGCGCGCTTCGGCAAAATTGATTCTCCATTTCTTCTATTTTCGCGGCGGGATCCCGGGGACGGGAGTCACGAAAACCACATTCCCGCCAACGCCGCAATTACAATTCGCGATCGAGAGCTCGAGATTATAAGCCCCGAGGCAGATTGAAAGTTTTCGATGAAAATTCCGCGGATGGGGTTTGCGGACTATCTCGCGTGTCGAGTGGTAGTTATTCACTCGGGTGCTCGGGTGCGCGGCGGCAATGTTGGAAGGCTCTCGGTGTTAATCACTCTCGGAAAGGAGGACCGCTCCGGTTTCGTACCGGGGGGGGAGAGAATCGCGGTATAACATTCCTCACGTGCGCGCTTCCGCCGCGCTTCCGTGCGCCGAGCTATGTGGGCAATGTCGACTTTCCGAGAAAGAGAGAGAGAGAGAGAGAGAGAAGAGCAAGCGGAAGTAATGGCACTAGATAGCTTCGCGCTCTCTATGCGCTTTGTCGATTTCGAGTAGCTTCAACACGCTGCAGACAGACTGCGTTAAGTAACGCTAAATATATTACGTCCTGCAACACAAGTCTGAACTTTCCCGAGCACGAGAGTTTGGAACTTCCGTTTGATCGGACTGCGCCTTCGAGTGGCGGAATGCTGTTATTAGTTCCCCGAGCGCGCGTGGATATAATCGCGCGTAAATTGAACGCTTATTTAATGACCGTAATCCGAAAATTTAATTCAAAAGTTTCTCCCGTTGAAGTACATAGCATTACCGTATACGCGTTTTAATATGTAAATAATTTATCGAAGATATAATAAGAAATACATATCTTATATCTTTGAGTTTATATAAGAGACAATAATCTGCAAGACGCTTTGGGGCATAAGCGAATAATTAAATTCAAATCTTTAATTAGTTGAGGTTTTAAGATAGGGTTTTAATCTCGAGATTTTATTTTTTAAGGAACAGTTCGAAATTTTGAGAAGTTTAGCGCCGAACGTCGACACCGGGAAATTGTCGCAACTGTTGTCGTGCGCTCACGCATTAGTCACACAGGAAGCTGTCACCGTAGGCTTGCCGGATTTTCCTCTAGACAGTTTGTCGGCGGCGGCTTTAATTCTGGTAAATTTCAGCTCTCAGGATTGATAGAAGCAGATTGGGGTTTTGTCAGTCTTTGACATTAATTTCGCGTGTTTGCTTAGGACAAAAGCCCGGACTTGTCGGTGCTAGACGTCTTCTATAGATTTTATCCGTACAAACTGTTCTTGAGCAAAGAGGGCCAGAGTGCAGTCGAGGATATTCTCGGAACGTTCGACGTTCTGAACAAATCCAAAAAGAAGCGTACTGTCAACAGTAAAATTAACACCACCGAGAAAGCCGGTGATCTTTTAGAAGTCAGCATAGAGCGCGATAACGCGACGACAAATTTTCACGTAAGCGAGAAAAGAACACTTCGTTCGTTTTACGTTTTTTTTTTATTGACGTGTTGACTGTTGTTATCGCATCTGAATTTATGTTGCAAATAGGTTTCTCACGGCGCAAACCAATTGTCGAGCGCGAATAACGATGATTACATAGAGACGAATTATCAGAATAATTTGTTAGCGAGCATGCTGGAGTCACACTTGGCGTCCGATTTCTGTCTGATCGGACCGAAGGGTTGCGGCAAGTCCACCACCGTTCGACGACTCGCCGATTTATTAGGATACGAAGTGGAGCCGATAGTGCTTTATCAGGCAAGTCTCTCGTCAAAAAGAGCTCGTCTGTCTGGCTCGACTCGAAAAAAAAAAAAAAAAAACCACTGCGACAATTCGCGATGTGAAATGACACACGGTTGAAATATTTTCTTAGGATATGACTTCCAGGGACCTGATTCAACAACGGACCACGTCGCTCAACGGCGACACGGTCTGGAGAAATTCACCGCTGGTCGATGCGGCTCTTCACGGCAAGTTAGCCGTGCTAGACGGTATTAATAGGATCCATTCCAGTACCTTGGCTATATTGCACAGGTAATTCCGACTCTCAGCACTTTGTTAGGGATTTCAGCGCAACGTAAGGTGGCTGAACGTAAGGTGGCTTATATTATGTATAACGTAACGCCGCCGCGTTTGCTCGCAGATTAGTTCACGATAGAGAATTGCAGTTGCACGACGGTAAGCGACTCATACGAGCCGATCGTTATGACGAGATAAAGACAGAGTTCAACAGATCCGACGAGGAGATGCTTAATCACGGTGTTCTGCGAATCGACCCGGCTTTCAGATTAATAGCTTTGGCCGAGCCGCCGATTGTCAACAGCTCGTCCGGCCAGTGGCTAAGCTCCGAGTTGCTCAGTTTGTTTCTGTTCCACGAGATGAGGCCGCTCGATAAGCACGAAGAGATCCATATTGTTCGGTCAAAGGTGATCACACATCACAAACAAACGCAATATCTACGTGTTCTCGAGTCGAGATTCTCTCATCGCGTCCTTTGTTGCAGTTCGGAAAACCTAGTCAGGCCTTGTTGAGTATCGTAGAATTGGCTCATATACTGCGCTCGTCCGGCGATCCGACCTTGCAGTCTCTTGCCGGCTCGCTTAGCACCCGGCAACTTTTACGAATAGCCGAACGAATGCAGAGATTTCGATGCGACGACGCTCACGACGCGGTGCAACGCGCGTGTCTGGCGCGTTTCTTGCCGGCGATCGCGAAACAAGCGCTCGAGGATTGTTGTCGTCGTTTGAACATCGTTCCCGCAAATCCCGCGACGACGGACACGGAGATCGAGTGCGTGATTACGGAAGACACCGTGAAGATCGGCAACACCGTGATGGATCGTTATCGCACCGCGGCTCTCAGCAAAGTACCCGATATTTTGTTTTACGACGTGCCGGAGCACGTGACTCTTCTGGAACGATTGCTGCAGGACTTCAGTCTGGGTCAGAATCTACTGTTAATCGGCAATCAAGGCGTGGGCAAGAACAAGATTGTAGACCGGTTGTTGCAGTTGCTGAACCGGCCGCGCGAATACATCCAGCTGCATCGCGACACAACAGTGCAGACACTGACCCTACAGCCGATGGTCAGGGACGGCAGGGTTGTTTACGAGGACTCGCCGCTCGTGCAGGCGGTCAAACTGGGACACGTCCTCGTGGTCGACGAGGCGGACAAAGCGCCCACGCATGTGACGTGCATACTGAAAGTACGTACTCGATATACCGCGCCGAGCCATAACACGCGTGTGTATGTATTATCACACACGCGCACACTCCCCATTGGCCATGAATTCGCGAGACGCACCCCTTGTTATTTTCAGACTCTGGTGGAGTCGGGCGAGATGATTCTGTCGGACGGCAGACGAATCGTTCACCCTCGTACCGGCAACAACGCGCGCAATGCGGCGAACAGCATTCCCATGCATCCGGACTTCAGGATGATAGTGTTGGCGAACAGACCGGGTTTCCCGTTTCTGGGCAACGATTTTTTCGGCGCACTCGGTGATCTGTTCAGCACGCATTCCGTCGACAATCCGAGCACGCAAAGCGAGATTCAGCTGCTGAAACGGTACGGTCCGCGCATAGACGAGCAGACGATACGGAAGCTGGTGAGAGCTTTCGGCGAGCTGAGAAGCATGGCCGATCAAGGTCTAGTTTCTTATCCTTACTCGACTCGCGAAGTGGTTAACATAGTTAAACACTTGGAGGTAAGTTAAAAAACGCAAATTTCAGAACGATATACGTCGTTGACGATGTGTTACGTAGGATTTCTCTTTTTTCTTTTTTTCAATAATAATGTTGTAGAAGTTCCCAAACGAACCGCTAAGTACCGTGGTGCGCAACGTCTTCGATTTCGATCGATACAGCCAGGAAACGTTCGATACGCTGATAACTGTACTACACAAGCACGGAATTCCCGTTGGCGCGAGTTCAACTAATGTCGCCTTAGCTAAGGAGTAAGAAATAATCTCTACTCTTTACATCTTCGTACAAGAGAATTGTACATAACAATTGCTTAGATTCAAATTAGGAAAATATCAACTGACTCGAACAATTGTGTGCAATTTGTTTTGTAAGATTTATAGTACAAAGAATGTGCAAACGTTATGTGTGTGCGTGTGTGCGTGCGTGTGTGTGTGGGTTCTGCGCCTTTATATACGTAACAAATGAGGATACGGGGAGAAAATAAAGATATAAAAAGAGCCGATCAATATTCTTTCCCCTTTTCCATTGCAGAATATCTCTGCCCGCGATGAAGATCTGTGGTAGTTGGAACGTGTCGAGCACGTTCCAAAATATACCCGTTCAAGAAAGATACGTTAAGTTAAAATCGCCGATATTTCCGGCGCAAAACGATCGTACCCTAGATCGAGTAGAGGCCAGATCGGCCTGGTTCACGGAACTGCAGAGTTACTGGACAATACCCATTAGCGAAAACAGCGCGGTGACCGCTTTAGCGGTTTCGAATGCAGGAGATAAGGGAGACGACAGAATACACGTTCTCACGACGAATCCTCTGAGCATATTCAGCATGACGCTGGAATCTGAGCGAGTTCGCGAAACATCGTTACAAGGTTTAATAAGTCCCGTTCGAGGCAATGAACCGTTTTACAACGTCGCAATTGATAACTTCGGTAACGTGTTGGTGCACGAGGAAACAGTAAGTATATAAATATGATCGTTGCTTTATCGCAGCGAGTCGTCAATTTTTTGTCGATATCTTGTGACATTATGTTTTTTAGAGTAATTCTATACTCGTGGTAAACGTAAACGAGGGTTCCGTGCGGGAACTGCAGACGTCATCCTTTTTGGATGCCGCAGGCGATAGAATATCGAGCGTTTTCAGAAGCGGCGGTCCACAGTGGAAGATGAAAACGGAACTGTTGTCGCCGCACAATCTGATTGTTTTGTACACGCTACGCGAGAGCAAAGTCGAGATTATCGATTTAAGTAGCATGAGCGTTTACTCGATGAACTTGCCGTGCAACATCGAGTCGCTCTCGCTCGCGTCCGAAAATAAGTGGCTGATTCAGGACACGTCGAGGAACAAGCACGTTCTCACGAAGTCTTCGAATTCGGATCCGTGTCCCAACGTTCTGCGCGAATTGGACGAGTCCAATAGCACCGATCTGAAGACCGGCAGTGTTTTGAATTGCGGCACAACCAGTCTGCACAAAGAGGAGCTGAGCGAGGCTCTGCAACAGAAGATCGACTCGCCGAACAGACTCTTGGTGACCGACAACACATATGCCGGTATCGCGATCGGTTTTCCCGATTTGGATAGCTCGAACGAACTGCACTTCTGGCCGAGGAAAAGAAGAACGCGCAGCTTCATAACGCCTATCATTACGCAAAACGGTCAAATTATAAGAACAATTTCGCCGAATCAGATACCGGATGAGATTTATCCGAAGGATAAAAAGCACATGGAAATTTCCGGTTACTTGGAAATAGTCGACACGGTAAAGCACAAGCTGCGATACATTCCTGTTCCGGCGTAAGTAAAGTTTACGACCAGCAGTAAATTTATAATTTTTGAATCAAAAATAAAAACATAACAACTTTTACTTTAAACTTTAATGTTTGATATGTTGAAAAAAAAAATAATATCTAGATAATAATATAAAAACATATAAACACGTATGTTTGTTTGTGTGTTAAATTGATTTTGCGTGTATAATTTTGCGCGCGAAAGAATGATCTGGAAAATTTTTCCTTCACGTATAGACCGGTTAACGTCTCGCCATTGACACAATGGCTCTACGCGAAGGACCTTCCGCTTTATGCATCACTTACGTCGAACGAAGGTCTCGTCACAATAGACGCCGGCGGCTGCGTCCGCTTATGGGAGACGTCACTTACGAGTATAGAAAAGTCGTTAGGCGCGTGGCGCAAAATGATAGACGGCGGCGACGAGAAATTGCAGATCACCAAGGAGAGGTATTCGGGGCAGGATGTTAGCGGGCCGAAGCACGGCAAGATTGATAAAAATAATGAACCCCATGTGGGCGGTAATACTTGGGCGGGCGGAACTGGAGGTATAAAAAAAAAAACAAAAACTTGACAATCTCTAATATCTAAAAAGAAATTACGAAAGTTACGCGTCATATTTGTTGTTAGAATATCGTCAAAAAGTAAAATTTTACCATATTATAATTTTTAAGATGTGAAAAATCGTTGTTATGCGAATCATTTTCAGGTAGAGATACGGCGGGTTTAGGTGGAAAAGGTGGACCGTATCGACTTGACGCTGGTCACACGGTGCACCAGCTCAGTGACGAAGAGAAGAATGCGGTGCCGGAACATGTAAAAAAAGCCGCCCGTGAAATGGGCCTTCGCGCGTTCAAGCAGCGGCTCAAGGATATACAGATGAGCGAGTACGATCACAATCTGTACAGCCAATTCAGTGACGCGGTTCGCAATCAGGTGCAGGCTTTGAGAGTCATATTAGGTGAGCGTCTGAATCTGATTTTTTTCTTCCAAGGAAAACGATGTGTTTTTTTTTTTTTTTTTTATCGCGTATTGCACACGTGTGCGTTATTTATAGGTACACTGCAGACTAAGAGCAACGAGCGACAATGGTGCCGGCATCAGACGTCCGGCGAGCTGGACGATACGAAATTAATCGAGGGATTAACGGGCGAGAAAACGATTTACCGGCGCAGAGCGGAGAAAGAGCCGGAAATTGGCGCTCCGCAATTAAAACCGAAGCGATTAAAACTCGTGGCGGACGTGTCCGGCAGCATGTACAGGTTCAATGGCTACGACGGCCGTCTAGATCGCGAGTTGGAGGCGTGCGTTATGGTAATGGAGGCTTTCAGCGGCTACGAGGGAAAGTTTCAGTATGACATCGTTGGCCATTCCGGGGACGACTATCGTATCGTCTTTGTCGATCGCACGCAGCCGCCGACGGACAATAAACGACGGCTGGAAGTAATTAAGGTGGTGGATGTTGATTTTTCTCATGTTCTTGTTTTCCGTGGAAAAGCGCGTATTACGCAATTTAATTACGAGCACGCTAATCTTTGCAGACAATGCACGCTCATTCGCAATTTTGCTTGTCCGGAGATAATACGGTGGAAGCGACGCAACACGCAATTGCGAGTCTCGCGAAAGAAGATTCTGACGAGTCGATTGTAGTTGTGCTCTCGGACGCGAATCTGGAACGTTACGGAATTCCCCCTGAGCGATTCGCAAAAGTATTGATGTCTAACGCCGACGTGAACTCCTACGCTATTTTCATCGGGTCCCTAGGAGACCAAGCAACTAGGTTACCTTACGATACGATTTATTACTATTTTGTTACTCTTGTACATATATATATTTTTTTAATCAATATATTTATTATATTTTCAGATTGATAAAAAAAATGCCTTCCGGTCGTGCCTTTGTGTGTATGGATCTTAAAAATATACCACGAATTCTTCAACAAATATTTGCTGCGTCGGTCTTAAGTACCACGCGATCAAGTTAACGTGAATTGTGATCAAGACAAATTAATTTCACGTATATAGAAGCAAAAGGCAAAAGTTTTAAGTCAGTGAAAAAACAAAGTATTATATTTTTAATATCTTTTTAGAATATGTGCTTTTATTTACACAATTCATTTGCACGTTTTTATATGAATATTGTAAATGTCTATTGTAAATAAAAATTTCTGAGACCTTTCTTACAAATATTTTCGAGAACACACGTAGCTTCAAAGTGAAACGCCGTTGATGATGACTACAACAGTGACTACTACACGCGCATTTGTCATCAATTATCATCTTCTACTATCACTAGAACTTTTCTAGAATTTTTCTCGTCAATCCTAAAAGCAGATATTAATTAGAGAATTCTAAGTTATCCGCACGTATACATATATCTCACGACATGCCGTTGTGAGATCTCGTCGGGAAGTCGACTCTGACCTTTCCAGTCCGGGTAAACGCCCGGATTTGTCCACGCGCGCACAGAGGAAGGAACGTCAGCCGCGGCATCGCACACGGTAGGGTGGCAGTGTGGACCAAGCGACGCATATCTCGACGCCAGGGGAAGAACGGGGGGATGTTTCATCCCCCGGTGAGCCGAGCGCGACCGAGGTCGCGGCGAAGAGGATCGAAGCGGCCGCGCGCGCGCGAGCCGATGATGATGGTGGTGGTGTGGGACGGCCGATTGTCAGTCACACGCCGGTCGTTGAATGGAGCGGGTGTGGAGACGCGTTCAGGGTGCCGGGCGTCGTGCTGCCGCGGCCCGTTGTGGCTGTCCCGTGCAACCGTGTCAGTTGCACGTGGACCAACGCGCGAAGCGTGGCGGCGGTCGTAAGTCTCGCGGCGGCGGTCCCCAGACCATCGTCTGCGGTTGTCAGGTGCAGCCGTGCCCGGTACACCCGGTGCTGATCAGGGTACGTCGTACGCGACCAGCCGCCGGCGCTGCCGCCGCCGCCGTTGCCTCCGCTACGTCCATCAGCTGCGACTGTCCGCCAGACTCGCAACCTTGTCCGCATGCACAACGAGAATCATCCGCGCGGAGAGTCAGAAGGTAAATAAATGCCGCGACGTAATTACGTCGGACATATGTCACGAGGACGACTCATGTGCGTCTCAGGATAAAAGCCAGCTGATTGTGTTGTTGCTGGGGTGGATTCTATATTGGGGTAGGTTGGAGAGACCGCGTTGTTTTACGTAGGTATTATATTCCCGTAGTTCAGAAGAGATGAATTGTACGCTTGTGTGTTCTCGGTCGATAGCACTTGTTGGTCTAATTTCGGTAACAGATCATTAAAAACCTGTCACTGGTACTCGCGCGAATGATGTGACGCGCTGTCTCACGTAGCGTGCGTGATAACAGTAGCTTATTGTCATTGATAACTATATCTCCGAAATTTTGGGTTGCCTCGTTCGATCGATAAGAGTAGAAAATAGCGAGCAACAGTTACGTCCATTCGGACATGCTATCGTACAGGCTGTTTCAAAATGATCATTCTTTCGTTACAAAAATTAGATTTTTAATTATTAACGTATAAGTGGATACAATTGTTAACGAAAGTGGTAGGGCCGCAGTTTTTTTAGAATCGCTTAATTACTTGCCGTTTAATTAATAATGCGGTTGACGATCGATTGCGTGGAGTTTAGCTGCGCATTTTAAAAAATCGTGAGTAAGAGAAACGGTGAGTAAATATGCTGGAGGTGAGAAGTCAACGTACTGTGTTAACACCTGCAATCAGAAGCGGAAGTGAATGCGCGAACAGCAAGCGTAATAAAGCTGTCCTGTCAACTTTTGTTGCATTTTGAGAATGATGCAGCTGCTCATTTATAGAACAAAAAACCGAGGCGTTTATCTTGTCTTGATTTAATATGGGGAAAGTTTCGTGTCGGAGAAGGAGGAGAGGGAGGAGGGTTGCAACGCGGAATGCAACGTTTGAAAGCGTTTTCGTGTCGGAATATAACGGCACGAAGTTCAGTCGGTTTGAGGATCCTCGGGAACGGTAATTCGCGCGGCCTTTTATCTTCACAAGAATGCTGGATATTGATTTATGAAGTGCACCACGCGTGTCATGGCAAATTAAACATGAAGTATCCCGTACACTTATCTCAATTTCTACAGTCGAGCGTGAATCTTTTATAGCTACGCGAATAAATCACAAGGCAACTGTTATCTCGGACTTTATTCATATGTACGTTTCACGTGCGGATTGTCTCTCGTATTTACATTAACGTTGATGTCTTTTCTCTTCTCGTTGAATATGTAATAATTTGTTTTAACAAACATAGAACTCATTGAAATTGAAGATAATTTCCACCAATGTTCCATAAATGGCATAAATTGAAGCATAAATCTCTCTTTATTTTTTTTTTCGAGAGATATAAAAGAACCGCCGAATATTATTAAATCAATATGTAGAATTAAATCAAGTTGGTTTGTGCAACGCGATTATACGACGCTGTTAAAATCAATCACGACATTACAGCCTGCCGTAATGCTAACGATCGCGATTCTTGTTTTTTAGACCGACCTGATTTTTCCTTTTCTTCGTTTTCTTCTCGAACGAAAAAGCCTTTCTATTTTTCGATATCATTGTGCGATAATACGCTAAATAAAGTTTCCAATATTCGATAGAGGATTCTTTCGTTTTCGACTTGGAAACTGTCGGAATATCTCGGGCGAAATATGTCGCGACCGAAATACGCGGAAATAGAAACTCTCCGCCAATACACAGACTTGCATAATTACACTCTTCGCGTATATGTCAATTTGAATCGCATGAAAAATCAATACGGTGCTTCGCTCGAAAGCAGAATTATTTTTTCAATTTATATACTATCTAAAATAAAACACACTAATTGTTTTTTTCAGAAATAAAAACTTTTCATCAATTTTACACCGAGCAACTTTCTTTTTCTTTTATAATTTTTCTTTTATTATCTTAATATTTTTCCATATTCAATTTTATTTTTTGATATTTGATCAAACAGTTAGAACGCTCTTCTTGAATCTACTTTTATTTTTTAATTAACGTACATACACCGTCTGATCCTTGATTGCAGATGCGAATGTACAGATCGTTCCTGCCGACACACGACATGCGCTGCTGCCGGTACCCGCCGTCGAGCGCAATCGTCTTCCTCTCCTGCATCCTCGTCCACGCAGTTGCAGCAGCTGCAGCAGCAGCAGCAGCCGTGCGAGTGCGCCGACGAGAGATTAGGCTGCGCCCACACAGGCGGCGGCGAGGCGCCGTGCGAGTGCGAGTGTGGCGAGGAGGCGAAATCGTGTCCGCACACGGCCGGAACGCGCCGTACGCGTCGCACGTGCACCGACTGCAACTGCAGCGGCGTGGGTGCGACGTCACAGCCCTGCGGCCACAAGCCCCAGCCTGAGGGCCGCATCAAGCGCGTCAAGTGTCGCGTGAGGCGCGCCGGCTGTGCGATGGCTCGTTGCACCGCCGAGCTCGCGATGCTGCACCTGCACTGGGAACTCGCCACCGAATGTGCGCCCTGCAGACCGCGCGCGCTCACGCGACGGCTCTGCCGGAGGCAGCAAAGCGACAACGAGCTCTATCGCAGCAACAGTTTCAAGTTCGAGCGATTCGAGCGTACGAAGGACGAGTGCACCACGCCGCTCCGCAAACAGGTGAGTGGCACACGCTTGCTTCCGTTTTCTGACCGATCATTCATTGCGGACACCGCGATATGTATCTCACCACCGTGAATTTTATGTTATGCAATCACAAATTGGTTTCTTGTTTTACGATACTGATTCGATTTACATTGAGAATACGAGATAAACCAACCGAGAGAGAAAATATGGGAGTGAAATTCTAAGTGAACTCAACATGGTTGTGAATGCCGCGCGGGACGTTGGTTGGGACGGTATGTTGACACGGCAGTTAATTGGTTTTGCGTTTGTATAAAGTGCAATATATGGAGCCGTATGAATAAAGAGCGTATGCAAATAGAATCGATGTAGTTCCTGCATTCTGTATGCAGCGAATCAACATAAAAAAAAATATATATATGTATATATATTTATTAAGTGTAAAGAGATGCGCGAGTTCATTCATTCAAGCTTTTTGGAAACGAAAGTGGAATATTTTTAACATGTCATTTATGAAAAATAACATTACGTTTTTATTTGTCTTGTTTTTTAAATTGCACAATTTAATTTCACTATTCTCGAGTAAAAAGAAAGTATATATATATATATATATATATAACCCAGATGAGCGCCGGTAGAACTAGTAGTTCTATTTTCTTCTTGTATATAATATGTAGCAAAAGCACTTCTAAGTGTTCAACATCCTATACGGAGCCGAGAAAAAGTGTTATACTCCATTTTGTGCGCAGGTGAGTTCTCTTCAAAGTTTGATGACACGGAAGGTTCTTCACACGTGAAATAAAAACCGCTATTTTCACGATATGGTCGCAAAATACTTTTACGTGTCTCGCGTATAATAAAAACAAGCATGAAAAACAAATATGAAAACGAATGCATTAAATGATGTATCACTATTGTAGGTAGGTTACGATCGTTTAATTGTTTTTGCAATATTCAACAACGTTAAATCCTTTAAACAGTAACAACAGTAATAGCACACAAGTCTTGTCAAATAAAATCTGTTCTCGCCATTTCGTAACATAAAGAAACGCAGCTAATATGAGATACGAAAAATTTCTATATTACTTCTATTTCTATATTTCTACTTTTCTACGTTACTGAAGATGGAAGAGACAGATTTTACTGGCTTCCTGCCAAATCTCTCTCAGCTTTAATCACTTAATTGCACTTGCGTCGCACGTGCTATTCCATATTGAACAAGACGTTTTCAGGGGAACACGCATCTGAAGAAAATTATATTTAAATTGCTAAGATTCTACGTCTCTTGTAATCGTGAGTAAACACGTGCTGCTTTTTCAATTTAATGCTAACAATGAAACGTCACTCGATTGTTTTAGAACGCAAGGAAATTTTATCGGAGGAAAACAAGTGCGGAAGATTTAAATGCAAACTAAAAATTTAATATTTCATAATTATAGTGTTGCATACAAATTGATGGGCAAACTATATGAATCTTGATTGACAAAATAATAAAATGATTAAGTTGCTGTTTCTTTTTCTTATTTAATCCACGTAAGGTAAGAAGCGACACGTGTGAAAATGAATGGTTTGCATATATTGTCACGGTGGTTGGAGGACTTCAATCCAACGAGTTTTCCATTCCGAATAATTAGCGCACCAGGATCGAACTGAACGAAACAGAAGATATTGTAAACGTAAATTTCATCTCAAGTACAGTGAAAAATCAACGTTTTGTTTTATATGTTCTTCGTAATGTTATTTATGTTTCATGCTATTTTACACGATTGTGACTTTTATACGTTATTACAACGAAAATATATATTGTAAATTAAATTATTAATAATATAAAACAAACGTATACATAATTGTGTCATCGAAGATAAGACTTTTGAATACTCACCATACAATCCGTACAATAACCGTTCGTTTCAAATTTATGTTCATCCATTCTTTTACGCAAATCCTGATCTTTCGTATTAAAACTCATTACTGAGAACAAGGGATTCGGAATGTAGAATTTTCTCTGTAATTATTATATTTAATCGACGTCAGAGAACGTATATTCACGCATTAACAATAAAAAACAAAGTACTGAAAAGATTTATTGCTTTTGTGAAAGGTGTAAAATAATTGACTCGCTCAAAACTTACTTCATTTGTGCAGAATCCAAGGATAGCGAATCGGTAAATGTCATCGTTTGAAACGTCGTCGTTTTCCGGCAACTTGACAAATTGTATGATGTCAGAAGGTATGATAGGAGGAGTTACCTGCACGTTCAGAGATTTTTAGTTTCCTCTCGTGACTACAGAAAGTACTGAACAGGTCTGAATAAAAAATTACGATTCTCTTTCGTGAGCACAAAATTCATTCGATTTGAATTACCTGTAGCAAAGCAATATCGTTGATTGCGATAGGAAAAGCAGTGAAATTTTCGTGCACTATAATCTGTACGACATTGTGTGTGGATGTAAAATTATCACCAAAATTAGCGTTGCCAACAAGAATACGCAATTGTTCTGGTCTGGATGTATTTCCGTGACTAGAAAAAGAAATTTATTATTCAAAAACCCATTCAAATATACGATATAGAGAGCATAACATTCGTTATTGGTAAAATATTGTGCAAACAATAAAAAAGTACATGCCGTCAAAAAACATTTTACGATTGCCTAGCAATATATGTACATATATATATGTATGAAATACAATTGCATATATATGTATATGCAATATAATTTCTATTTTATATGTAGAGATTATCATGATAAACGACAGTAATATATAAGTATAAATTACGGAAGGAAGCAAGTTGCTGTTGTTATAACACGAGTCTCGTTCAGAATTGCACCGGTACAAACAGCGTTGTTTGATGTGTTTTGTATGCGAATCTGCGAAAAAAAAGACAACGTTTTACAATAGAACTCTAGTAATTTTACGCGGATGAAACCGATTCTTCTTAGAATTTGAAATTATTTCTTTCCTTCCTAGGAAGCGAACGGCTGTTAGCAAGAAAATGATATATATGTTTCTCTTTTTTTTACTCTTAAAATGTGGATGTAATTCTCATTCTACAAGTTGTGCACTTACTCAGAAATATCGTAGAATTATCAATAGTGAGAAAATCTATCGGCTTTCGTTCGTAACGAAAAAGTCGAAATTATGATGTTTGAAATTACTGGAGTTTTATTATAGTATAGAACATCGCGTAAAAAAATATGTTCATATAAAGTTCTTTAATACCGTATAATGCCGAACTACGTGTGGATGATAATAATCCTGATTTGGAAGAACTACAGCTGCAAGAACAAAATTTATTACAGAAACGGAATTGTTTTACAAAATGTGACGTATTAGTTTTTTCTGTATACGTATGTTTTAATAGCAATTTCGATTTTATTATGTATATCAGTTTGTTAGTTTTTTTCAGACGCTATACAATTACTTGTATTTACTATGTTGTAATTCTCTCTATATTTATGTATTAATTGAAAGGTATAAGTGCTATACAAAAGGTATAAGTGCTATAAACAAATGTTTATAATTTATAAAGATTATAACATACCTTGAGAAAATGCCAAAACACTCAGATAAAATAAAATTGTCAACGCCATTAGTATTGATAATCGTTAGCAGCAATCTCCTGAAAATCGAATCTCGCGATACTGAAAATAATATATGTATCTTTCTACAATGTACGTTTGTCAAGTGCTCGAGAAACGAGATTTATTTTGAAGCTGTAGATAAAAAGATTTGAAGAATATCGATATTTCAATACAGCGGACTATCAATTGACTTTTGATGCAATTATATTGAGAATCAACAAAATTGTTTGATGCACATTTCAATCTATTTTAATAGACATATATACGTCTTTATGTTTCGAGTGGTAATCAAAGAGTGAATGAGAGACTATAACGTTTTTATTTTTTATGTTTTAGATTTAGATGGTTTGATCAATAATGATATATAATGAACTTATTGGTAATCACAAATGTCAGTCGATATATCGATATATTATTTGTCATGTTTAATAAAACATGACACATAAGGCTGATTAAAACTTTAAAGTATATCGCACGCGCTTTTACTATTTTTTTTTATTAAGTATGATATTACAATGTTAGTCTGTGTCTTCTTTAACAGAAAAATAAGACATAAAATAAAAGATAAGATAACACATTGAATTTTTATACTATGAGTTGTTAATGTTTCTATTATTGTGAGAAGTATATATATATGCTGATTTTTTATTATAGGAATTATCACACAAATTTGTGTTTAAAAAAAAAGAATTTGTTAGGTACAAAGATGTCACTCACAAAGATGTTATACTTATAACGCTTATGTATTCTGTATGATGGTATAATGCTTCGGTCCGACACAATATTTGACTCGTAAATGACTGAAATCTATTCGAGCGTGGTTTTTATAGTGCTAGAAAAGGCATGAGCAGGTTTTCAGTGACAAGTATAACTGGTTTCTTTCTTGATCATGCTTTTAGGAATGTCAATGTGGAATGCGTTAGATGCGTTAGATTTAAAACTAAACTTGACTTTGATATTAGTCCACATACTAGATGTCTACGCATGGTTGGAATGCGCGATAAGATAAAATAAGAGCTTATTCTTGGAATAAAACATGCTAAACGGTGACACCAGTATTTATTGTAATAACAAACTTTTATAAAAATGTTTAAAGATATTATGTGAATATATATGTTACTATCTGTTATTTTATAAATTAAAGTGTTTTTTTTTCAAGTTTACTTTGAATTTATTTTAATTCTGTTAATATTATTGGAAAGTTATACAAAACAAACAAGTTATAAATTATGATTAAAGGTGAACATATAACGTTTATTTATACATTTTAGATTCCGGCTGAGGCGGGGGGCTGAAGAAAGGGTGGTTGAAGAAGGGATAGGTGAAGAAGGGATGGTTGAGGAAAGAGTGGTTGAAGAAAGGGTGGTTGAGGAAGCAGTAGTTGAAGAAGGGATGGTTGAAGAAGCGGTGGTTGTTTTAGGAATTGTGTTTTCTTTAATCCATTCAAAATGAGATTTGATACTTGTGTAGATACCGGGATAGGTGATACTTCCACATTTATGAAGGTTTGATATCAGTCCGATGAGTTCTCCATTTAAAGTCAATGATCCACCATAATCATTCTGAAAGAAGCAAAGTATTATTGTTTACTTCGTGTCAAGTAGTAAAACTTAAAAGTTTTCTTTATGGCGTGTTACTGTAATATTTAAATTATGTATTTTATACGATTTGAATGTGACTTGTAGTATAAGTAATTACACGACACAGGATGCAGTTGTGATAATATAGTATTCATTCAGAATTGCCTCGCCACCTGTGTGAGTAATTATAGTTTAAAAGCAAATGACGACGATTTATTAGATAAAGAAATTTACGACGATATTATTTAGATAAAGAAATAGATTATTTCATGTTGTCATCAATCAATTTACGATTTGTATCGACATCTACATAGACAAACGGGTTCGGTGGATTCAACCTCCCACTCTTAGCCATCGCACTTAAGCCGCGAGACCACTGGGCCGGTCTAGAAATGCTATTATAGATACTATTACCGCAGTCGTTTATTTTGAATACTATTCCTACGAGGATTCTATTATCTTTTTTGCTTTTAGTCACTGGTTTACCTAAATCAATTTGGAAGAAGCAAAATTGAGAATTTTGCATTTCGTACTCAGTCGTCAAATATTCGAATATAATTTAACTCGTTGCTTCACGATATTATTATGTATTTTGCAACATACTCAATATATATGACTGTGACACGTATGTTATTATGGTGGAAGTATTAGGAATATAAATATATATTTAGGAATAGAAATAATAGATAATAATAAGAATATAAACATATATATAACATATATATACATTTTTGAGATGACATTTTTTAAAATGAATATTTACTCATGGACCTCTTTCAATGTTTAGATCACAAATTGATTGGCTTTTGTATTTTTTTTCGCAGTCTTCAGTATCAAACTATAAGAGTGGTGTCTTGTAAATACTTATTAGTCCATTTTTCTGTAATTTTATAATAACATTTCTATCTACACTATGTTCGAGCAAATGTAATAATTTCTTCACATCTTTTTGCATTTTCTCGTATCTTTGGACATGACACAGGTAACAAAATAATTGAAACTTTTACGGCAAAGTCAGTATTTATACATCTGTTTTAATTTCTCCTTCATACTCTTTCGGAGAATTTAGATAATTTAATAAATGACGATTTCTTTAAATTTAGATTAGATAAATGAATTATATATGATATAACGAAGATGTGTTGAAGATGTTAAGATTAATACAAATCGCAATGACCAATCAGATTTTAATAATCGCGTAATATCGCAACGAAATGATTTGCACATGTTTGTCTCGTTATTAAGCAAATTTTATTTTTGATAAATATAAGTTTGTGTGTGTGTGTGTGTGTGTGTGTGGGTAGGTAGATGTGTATGCTTGCGCTATTCTAATCACAGCTGTCAATTACGGACAAATTCTCTCGATTTGTCATATCTCCTCCATAGCCAAATGTCACCGACAATAGAAGCAATATATGAATGTCATGCAATTATCGGTTTTTTATGCTAGAGCTCTCTCTCTCTCTCTTTCTCTCTCTCTCTTTCTCTCTCTCTCTTTTGCTTTATTTTTTGCAAGTATTTAATAATATTTATTTCGCTTTGTTTGTAACATTCGATTTGCAGTAAGAAATAAATCGTCACAAAAAGAATTTATTTATTAAGGTGTTTGATAGGATCTAATTATCAACGTCTTTCCTCGTATATGATGAGAAGTAAAATATATTTATTCCATTAAAAAAACAAAGAAATGTGTACAAGTTCTTAAGGGTATCTGTTATGTACAACCCCTATGTCACATCGTTAGTACGTTATGTAACAAATCGTTTTCTCTCTTCTCGATTAACAAAATCGATCGTTAGATAATTTACACAAAACGAAGGACAGAGTACGAGTAGTAGCCATAGTTAGAAGTTTAGACCGCGTGAGCTTTAATCCAGTCGAGATAAGATACGACACGAGTGTAGACGGTAGGATAGGAGGTGCTGGCACAGCCATTTGCCCAGGATACGAGTCCAACGAGTTTGCCACCAACGGTCAACGGACCACCCGAGTCACCCTGAACGTAGCAAAATAACATTTGTTTACATTTTTATGTTGTCGAGTTCAGTAAGTTTTAAATAAACGTATTTTTTTTTTGTGTTTGATTTTTGATCGTCACAACCAAAATGTAGTTAATTGCTTTACGAAATTGTGCAAGAGAGATAATAAATAATATATGGGGAAAAAAGGAACAAAACTCACGTGGCAGGATCCCTTCTCAACTCTCGGATCGTACGCGCAAACTTGCGTGTCGTGAACGTAGTATCCAAGATTAACATATTTGCTTCGGCAGTAAGTCTGATCAGCGATCACAATGTTAACTCGCTGCAGTTGTTTGGTAGTCGGTCCACCTTGCTGCAATTTTATCACGTAATCGTATTGTTGTTTTCACGTAACTAGACGTTAGCGATTTGTTAACAATAATTATCTTCTCTCGCGCACGCCACGAATAAGTAAAACAAAGTGACGCGACTTCCTCGGTGCTTTCTCGCACAAAGAGCGCACAATTTGAAGAATTTTATGTTCGAAAATAGCAAAAAACTCACCCAGAGTCTGCCCCATCCCGATACAACAGCTACGTCATTAGCTTTGACGACGTGGCCCTTTGGCGGCAGAGGAACGTGTCCGAGAGTTTCAGACCTCTTGAACGGAGTTTTCACCTGAAAATTTTGCGACGATTTGTTAGAATTATTGACAGATTGGAAAGACCGAGTGACGATCTCGGTTCTCTATTTACAAAGAGAACGACTTCTCAAATCTTGCTTCACCTTTAGTAAAGCGATGTCGTTGATCCAGGAATTACTGGCGTCGTAGTTCTCGTGCGTGATGACTTGCGCAACTTCGTGCGTCGCTCGTGGATCTTGCAAATTGATACTGGCCGCAACGACTTTCAATGCCGATGGTGATCGACTGTAACATGCAATTGTTTTTAATTGTACTAGGCGTATATGTGCGTTATGTTATTTCTTATAGCAAACGTATGAAAAAAACACGAAATCGCTTGATGATGTGTTAAGTAGTATAGTAAAAAAACAAAAGTGACACAGTGAAATTACCCGACAACGCAGTGAGCTGCTGTGATAACATAATTGTCATTCAAAACTGAACCGCCGCAGAAGTGGAAGTTGGAATTTTTTTCTTGAAGAGAAACCTAAGAAAATAACACATACATGTACGTTATTTACAGATGTAATATTTGAAGCAAAACGAACCAAACGTGATGTATTTATTTGCAAAAATATATTATAGTATATTCTGTGGCGGATGTACCTGATATGGAATCTCGCCTAATTTAGCATTTTCTCCGTTCACAATTCTGGGGTCAAAATTCGGGAGAACTCCAGCTGTGTAACGACACAAAGTGTCATTATTAAGTGGTAAATTGTGTCAAACAATAATTAAGCTTTTACATCACATTAATGTATCTTCATATTTGTGATTATGAAAGAAAACTTCTTCGTAAATTGCAAAAAAAATTGCAAAAAAAAAACATAGTTCACAACTGTATATTGAAGAATCGAAGCAACGAGAAGAACAAATTCATGAAAGTTGTGTGTTGTTATTTGAATATTTTGCATTATTCATTGAATGATTGTCTTTCGTAAGGAAATCGTTACTCACCCTGAGAGAAGGCCACAAGGCCGAGAAGACATAAAACCGTTAACGCCATTGTTCGACGACTGATCGGCATTCGTCGAAATCGGGTGAATACAGCGAATTTATATGCTCGTTTTCAATCCACTTCCGCGCGAGTCCAATAATCGAGTAGTCTTTTTTTTTCTGGTTAAACTAGATTAGATAGATCGACTGTGATATGTCAGAGAGATGTAATATGTGAGATTGATAAGTGATTTATTAACGTCGTTGAGATTGTAGTCGCGCTTATTATATCGCGCATCTTTTATTTTAATTTTTTTTTTTTTTTTTTTTGATTACAATGCGATTGGCCAATATCACAGTTTATCATCGGTCTCTCGAAAGAGAGACTTTTGTACAATTTGTATGTAAAATATATTTATTTCTTTCTAAATAATCATACGCATCGAACAACGTCACATTATTGCAATTGTAAGCGCTTTTGTTGTCAAAGAATTCTATCTCTCCCTTTTCTTGCGATTCTTGAATTGTGAGCAAACTGTACTGAATATTACAGGCATTTGTCAATTTTAATGAGGCGGTTATTCAAAATAACTAATTATAAAATAATTATAATTTTTTATTTCGAAACAACGCGGAATATATCTAAGTTTTGCTTATCAGATTATTAATGACAATATAATTGTAGTATTTTCAATCGGTAGTCATCGCAATGATATCGTTTTTTCGTCTCAATGATCGACACGTGAGAGATATTGGGTTTTCCCGTATCTTTTAATCTCATTTCTGATGCGTCTACCGAGCGCGAACCATTGATACGATTAATTGTCCACGTCGAAAGAAATATCGCTATTCTTTGATCGATATTACATAAATATCTGATACGATAAACGCATCATCATTTTCTTTCTCTCGCACTTAATAAATAGATGCTTGACATATTATTTTTGTTTTTCGCGGAAATAACCTATCGCAATTGGAATTACATTTATTAATTAATCGCAACGTAATTACATGAGATTACTGTTTTTGTTTTTACGTCGATTTCATAACGTCTCTCGATTTAGGGTATCTTCGATCGGCAAATGTCTTATCTATGCGCAAAAAGTTCTTACGTTGTTTCGTACAACTAAAACAATGAATGCGACGACGTTTAGCGATAACGTAGCTGTGACAATTTTGTTTTTAACATAAAATGTTAAATGTTTTCTCACATGTATATTACAGCGTCAGATCTCATTTTTGTGCGTGCAGTTGTATCGAACACATTATCTGTAAAGTTGATAACTGTGGGATAATGATCACGATAATTACGCTACATTAGCTTTAATTGCTTGTCCTATTAAAAGTCGTGAAAGTTTGCGATCCCAATTTCAATAGAAAATCTCGTGCGCGCTCCCAAGAGAGAAACAGAGAAAGAGAGAAAAAAGAGAGAAACGTTTTCGATCATCCTAGTAGTTCACCATTTTTATCAGAGAATTCTGACACGAACGGACGTCACGAACAGAGATAGGTAGTAGTAGAGGTCGATCGATCGGCAACCCAGGACCGCTGCAGGATATCAGTGTTTCAGGATTCATCTGCAACCAACGACCTCATGACCTGACCGCGTAATCAGCTATATACGGACGATCAAAGGCTCCACGCCGATCGGAATCACCGATATTTCACGAATTTCCGATCGCGTGCATCTACAACCTTGATTAAATTTCATTTGAGAGTGTATATGTATATACACACACAATTTCTTCTTCTCTTTCTCTTTTTATACACATACATATACGTATAATAAATTTTTTAACTGATACATGGACTTTTCTGTCGCTCCTCAAACATATCATTAATATTATAAATAAATAAATAAATAAATAAATATATATATATATATATATATATATATATATATATATCAAATTTATCGGTAAATAAAAAGTTGTGTGTCTTTGAAAAAAAAGACAAATTGAATTTGAACTGTTTGTTGGTAAGGCTCTGTCACATTATATTTGCAAGTTTATTTTTGTATATTGTTTTTGTTGTCGAATAACGATTGTTTGTTTGTTCGGCGAAATCTATTATATAAGGTATTAACATGATACGCGGAAAAATGTCAATCAGATTTCGGTAACACGAATAATTTATCGATATGTTTAATGACGATGAGACAAACGTTCTTTGCCGACTGAGATAACGACAAGTTATCTATACGCGCGATAAAATATTTCGATTATTATTAAGTTTCGATTATTTAAACTTGAATAACACGTGCATGAGCTACTTTATGTTTGCGATTTCTTTTATTTTTTTTAAGTGCACGTAAGTTTGAGAAAACAAATGCGTAGTTTCGTTCAAGTAGGTTATCTTATCTGACTATATAGTTTACTTTGAGGTCATTCAATAGGTGGAAAGATTAGTTGCTAATAGGAGTGTATCTTGCGACATAAGTGTTTTTATTGTTACACATAAAACGATGCATTCATACACGAATGGGATTACAATTCATATACGTGTGTATTGTATTAAATAATAAATTTGTAATAATAAATAGTAAATTAAATAATAAATACTACTAAATCATTATTAAGCACAATCATGTTACAACAAATAATTGTATTACACATATAGATGAAAAATAATAATCACAGATTTTACGCACATTTTTATTTCGCAGATAAGCTCACGGGAACAATATACGCGCTGTTGTTCACACAGCGCGATTTATTTTCTTATGTCGGCAGAAGAGAGTTTGTTGTATTATATGCATGCATTATTCAAGAGTGCCGCTTTCGGAACATCGCAAAACTGCAAACAGAACAAAAGGGTCAAAGATTGTCCGAGAACAAACCGGACTCGCTTTTCGCGTTTGAGGAGAATCGAAAGAGAGAGGTTTTTCTTCCACGCGTAAAATCGCCAAGATTTTCGAACAATATGAGAGAGAAAAAAGAATTTATATAAGAGAGAGAGAGAGAGAAAGAGAGAGATATATAAAAGTGCGAATTTTTTGGTGGGCTGTTTTATGTAGCGCGTATAATTTTTTGTTAAAGATATCACAATTTTTGTTGGAATGTTACATTTTATCTATTTTTCATTTCTTACATTTTCGCTGAATAATAATAATGGAAGTCTTTTGGCGTGTATACATAAAATGCGCTTTAAACGAATAAAACGAAACGTAACAAATTGTACATAATTTTATCAGACTCGCGCATTCGAAATATAATATTCAATACGAGCGAACTAATTAAGGTCATGTTAATGCGATTTCATTGTAATCGTACAATACGATGTAAACACGCTTATCAATTTCCCCCGCGGACGTCGCGTTTGAGGCGCGATAGATTTGCTATTCGGCGATTTCCTTAACAATTACACGATTTATTGAAGTACATTGAACCGCGACAATGGCCTCGCTCGAGCGATCTTCAGAGACGGTTTAACGAGCTTTGCTCGTCGTCGCGTCGTCGATCGGGAAAATAGTCTTGGCGTATTACGAACGCGCTACGCGCATGACCCGTCGCGATAAAAGAGCATCGATTGCCAGTTTGTGCGAAGTCCTTGATTCGTCTTCGTCGTGCCACATCGACGTCGCTAATTAATGCACAGCTTCGCACTCGTATAATTTTATTCGCACACGACTTTGATATGGCGTTCGCCACTTCTCCGCTCTCTTATGTCGCTTCCCTCTCAAACAAACGGCGAGATTGTGAGATCGATCTTTTATCTTTTATCAGAATAGTAAAGTATGTACATATCTCGCGTATGTGATTGCTAGATCATTCGTCTACGACGTAGAAGCATGACATTGTTTTTAGGTGTGTTTAGCACACGACTCACGTCTTATGTGATAATCTCAAAATCGGCGTTTGGTTTTTACGGACAATAGTCACTTTGCTTTTGATTGTGTGTGTTCTTGGAAATGAAAATGTTAGTTGATTTAATAAAAATATTAACGCATTACAAAATCGCAATTGCAAAATGTACGCGCATGTTTTATATAAATTAAATTTATACACAAATTAAGTACACTATTTCAATTTTTGCAAAATTGATTGAATATGTCAAATATTTTAACTTGATTCTGCCTCTAAGTGTTTATTATTGTTTATAAATGTTAGTTGATTTAAAAAAAATATTAACGCATTATAAAATCGCAATTGCAAAATGTACGCGCGTGTTTTATATAAACTAAATTTATACACAAATTAAGTACACTATTTCAATTTTTGCAAAATTGATTGAATATGTCAAATATTTTAACTTGTGTGATTCCGCCTCTAAGTGTTTATTAATACCACACTGTTAAAAAATGCATTTGGTAATACACTATTGGCTTCCCGAAATTACTATCGGCGAAAATATATGGGTTGTTGCACTTTTGACCGAGTCACGTTCTTACGGTTGCGAGTAATAAAATCTAATCGATTTGACTGAGTATGAGTGTATAGAGAATCGATAAATTTTAGTAAAACGTCTGTTAGCAACTGCACTATGTATATTTATTATCTAATAAATCGTTGATTCAAACGCAGTGGCGCGTGCACATGGAAGATTCGCGTCGAATCAACAATTATTTATCCCAGAAAATTTTCGCGTGTAGTTCGCGCTTAAAGAATTGCAACTTGTGTTTACAGTTTGAATTTTATTACTAAATAATAAATTTTATTATTGAAACTTTATTACTGAATACTATGTCGCATTATTAAGTTTTTTATTTTTTTCATTACTCGTATTTACGGCTGCAAAACAAACAATGTTACAGATGTTGTACAGAAATAAAAACAAATCCGCTGCTCGCTTAACGTTGCGTGACGCGATCGCAATTAGATCAAATTATGGCTGATACGTTCCTTGTGAGTTAGCGATATTATACAGGAGTAAGTTAATAATCTTTAAGAACGAGACAGAGTAGATTAAATAAATATATAATTGTAATTGTGTATAATAAAGTAATAAAAGACAAAATGTGAAACGCGGATAATATTATTACTTGAAGGTCANATTGTGTTGTTTCTTGTAAGATTCTTTGCGATCTCGGCGTCTTCAACATGTATAATGTACGATGACGAGTTATTATATTTTATANATCATTGGAGAATATAAAGTGCGNTTTTATATATACAAAATGAAACAACAGTAGTTTAATTATTATGTATATTNAATATAAGTTTTATTTGTCACACGTTAATCTCAATNTGATCAATTAANNTTGATAGATAAGATATNTATCTGTTAAGATAGANATTGCGCACTTCTGTANTAAATAATACAAAGATATATAGTTTTACTACAATCATCAAAAATACAAATATCAAAAATTGTGTACATAATAATTGATTGATATAGAAAAAGTCNGTCGTACNTTCTATGACTGCGATAGCGTTAGAATATTAAAATAATTTTAACATTTTACATAAAATTGCAATTAAGTATGTGATTATATAACAGTCTGAAAATTGNTAACATTTTACATAAAATTGCAATTAAGTATGTGATTATATAACAGTCTGAAAATTGTAAAACAATCTTGTCAATAAACAAATAATGATAAATAAATCAATATTTAGGAGATATATGCTTTTCGATCTANTCAATATNTAANANATANATNCTTTTTGATCCAATCAATATACGAAGGTACACGAGTGAACACAGTCGGGAAGTCAGTGCGTGCACAACCTANCGACCACGATACAATTCCGACAAGTTTTCCATTAACGGTCAGTGGACCGCCCGAATCACCCTGTAAATGAAGAATAAAATGTCTTTTTAATGTTATAAAAAAGAAAATCGATTTGCGAATACAGAAAATGTTTAAGTCTCTCGTGTAATACGACATAATTTGTAAAGTTACAGAGAGNTTTATTTATTCATCGCTTATTTTTTAATTCCTTATTTACTTTATCACTTTATTCATTATCACTCATATTGGGTATGTCAATTATTAATTATAATTTTGTACTTTTAATGTCACATTTTCTTTCAAGTTTTTAATTGTGCTAACTAATAGCACAATAGCATTATATCTGTATGTTGTGTTCATCTTTGTAGAAAAAAAAGTAAGGGAATTATACGAAATTTTAATCATACGTTATAACTTACGTTGCAAGCTCCTGTTCTTTCGCCTGTATTATATGCACAGATATGTGAGTCGTAAATATTGTGCAGAACTTCTTTGTACACTACTTTGCAATACTCCTGATTAGCTGTAGAAATTCTAGCTTGCAGCAAATAGTGGGAAGACGGNCCGTTTTCCTGTAATTTGAACGATCACAAAAGTGAATTGCAATAAATACAATAAAAATACATTTATTTGCAAAATTTAGTAATTTTAATTACCTCTATTCTTCCGAATCCAGAAACTATCGCAAGTTCTCCTGCTTCNATATATTCATTTTGTTTGGGCAGAGATACGTATCCAATACCTGGGTGCACGGACAAAAGTGGCGTAAAAAGCTAAAAAAAATTTAAATTTCGCGTTATTTATGAACAATAGCAATAGCATTAGAATGTGAAAAATATTTAATCAACAAATAGTTTACTATGAGTAATGCGATATCATTACGCCACGAATCGCCACTATNGTATTCTTCGTGAACAATTATCTCCTTAATAGTACGAATATATCCTGATTTATTCAAATTTACTGTGCCAGCGACTAAATGTATGTTTTCAGGTTTTTGACTGTAATTAGAGTAGACATAAGTGACATATATTATAACGCTGTTCTTAAAATGCAATCTATGCGCGCGCGCGCACGCATTACATTACGATAGGGTTCAAAAAATCACTTACTTTNCAACGCAGTGAGCAGCAGTGACAACGTAATAGGCATTAATGAGAGATCCGCCACAAAAATTGAAAGNATTACGTGAAATAAATAAGGCAATCTGTAAATAAAATAATTTTTTTAATGTTTGCAGATTTTAACTAGTATTAAATATATACTAAAAATTTTCGATTTGATGAAAAAATATGAAGTGTAGCTCTTGCAGAACGCAATCTGCGATACAAATATCTTATCTGAATAAAGAGATAAAACATTTTGTCTCTTACTTGATATGGTATTTCGCCGGGTTGTACCCTGTCGCCATTTACAATT